ATCTGAATCAAGAGTGTGGCTTGATTTTCTTTTGCCACTCAAAGATGAAAGCTTTAAGTACTGCTTATCTGATGGTCACAGTTTTAGTGCTCTACCAGCTCTTGCATCGTTGTTAGGAGTACCATTTTCTATGTATCTTTTAATAACTTTTGAACTCTAGTTTTGTAAACTTCTGTTTTTACATTTATTTCCTTGTGACTTTCCCCTTCCTTTTGCAAGTGGACTGCCTTCTGTCTGATCCCTTCAGAAATATCTCCTGAAAAATCAATAATGTGGCTGTTTTGACGGGAAATTGCACGAGAGTTGTCTCTGACATTTGCACAGTACTATGTATTTATCATTTTAATGTAACTGTTCTTAGAAGTAATTGTTATGTGGGTAAAACAGTTTCCTAAGAACAGTTGTATGTTAGAGTTTGAACTACAGTTTGTTTATAGAACATAAACAACATTGGCTTGCTTTGACTACCGATGGGATGAGCAGATATAAAGGGTATTTAATCAGAGCTTTAAAAGCGATCCCACCACCATTCCTTCCCTTTATAAATTGAGGGTTATCACGGCCACTCTCCCCTTTGCAGCCAGCTCTGACTTTGATGCTCATTCCTCTGTGTGTGGGTATGTGAGCTTGTGTGTTTTACTGGTGTCCTGTGGGCTACTGCTGTCTGCCCGCAGCGGCCCTTTCCATTCTGTCAGATGGTGAAGTCATGGTATTTAAGCCGGCACAATGCAGCCTCAGCTCAAAGAGCGAACTGTGAGGACAGCATGTGCTACCTTTTCATTAACCCATGAGGACTGCTCCTGCAGATGGACCTAATAGCTGTTTGTTGCCATCCGTGAATCCAGGAATGCAAACCCTGTGGTTATAATGGTTATTAACATGTTTTAATTTAGACTTCCAGGCAGACGTTGGACTGTCGTGGAAAATGATATAACATAACTGCACATAAAATGTTGGCTCCTAGAGTTTCAGTTCTGATCCAATGGTCATGTTTGTGGTAAACCAGTTGCATGTCTCTGGTGGCTTAACAGGCATTTCTCTTTTTAAAATCAGATTTGAATGCTGCAGTCAGAGCTTAAAAAACTGATCAATTGATTGTGGTTTGCCACTGAATTTATATTTATGCAAGCAGTTGTATAGTCTTTCAAATAGATTTGAACAATATAAATATTCTCAGTTTGGCACTTGAGTATTGCAGCGTAGTCAGCACTGTTCAGGTGTAAAAGTTTTCACACATTGCATATTTTGCACACTGTCTAATTTAAGCAACTGTGACCCTTCTCTGTTAAACCTGTTATCAGTCACAGTGGAAGCACATCCACACTTAATCATAAAAACATGTTTGCTCAAGGTCAGAATAAGATCCTGTGGGGAAGGACCGGAGTATCTTCTAATTGACACCTGTAGCTTTAAGTTCCAGCCAATGGAGCAACAGGAGGGTGTGTCTGATGCTGAGCTATGTCAGGCATCTGGGTGCTGGAATGTAGTCTGGGTGAATGTTAGCTTGTCTGTCTCTTGGGAGTTCATCTAACACCCGTGCCACATGAGCCGACACGTCCCCGCTCTGAGGCCACTGGCTGCAAAACAGCGCGATGAAATGAAGAGTGGAAACCAGCTCCAGCTTGAACGCTGTTGCTGTGTATCTTCAAGTCTCCTTTAGTGATAAAGTTGCATTCTCAAAATAAATCTCAAAAATACACAATTTTACAATTCTTAAAGACATTTTCACAATACACAATATAGATATATATCATAATATTTTTAGCTTTGCCAGCACTAGAAAAGTAAACATTTATAAAATCCTGTGTAAAAATTTTATAAATGAATAAAATATGACATTAGTGTGACATGGTGGAGCAGTGATACAGTGGGTAGCACTGTTACCTCACAGCCCGAAGGGCCGGGGTTTGGTTCCCGAGTGTGGGTGTGGGTTTCCTCCCAGAGTCCAAAGACATGCTAAATTGCCCCTGGGTGTTGTTGAGTGTGTGATTGTATATGTATATGTTTGTCTGCCCTGTGATGAACTGGCAACCCATCCAAGGTGTATCCTGCCTTCTGCCCAGTGACTGCTGGGATAGGCTCCAGCACCCCCTGTGACCCAGAAGGATAAGCGGTTTAGAAAATGTGTGTATGTGTGTGTGTGTGTAGTTGACATTAACACTTATAGCACTTTTATTTCTTCATCCTTTGTTTGTGCATCAATTTATTTGCATCTTATATGTTGACTGGAATTTGCACTTAAATAGTGGAACTTGTACTTACATCCTTAACATACATTAAAAATAACAAGATACATTAAAACGTTTTAGACTTTAGTTTCTAGAAATCTCAGTAAGTGAATAAGTGAGTGAACTCTAAAAAAAGTGAGTAAGCAATTAGAAAATTGTTGTGAGTCCGTAAATGTCCATAAATGAGGGAGGGCTGTGGACAAGCTTTTCATTGTTTCTGAACACTTATGTTTAAAACACATGACAATAAATAGGGGTGGGCAAAAATACCATATCATGATCTTTAAAATCATTTTTACAATACACGATATATACCACAATATGTTGACACAGACACTAGTAGCACCACATGTTCTAGTAGCACCACATTTAAAAACTGCCATCAAAAACTATGTGTACATATATATATAATGATTTTTATTCAGTGTTTCATATCCTGTACTGCATTAAATCCAATTAATTTGACTAATAATGGTCTGTTTGAAATTAATTATGCAGTTGGTTAGTGTTCTTTATAGAAGCAATATGTAATACTGATAGTAAGCATTTAAAATAGGCACTGCAGTCCAAATTCAAAATATTGGAGAGAATCGTCTGCCCACCCCCTCCTCCCCAGACTCAAAGCTCACGTCGGTTGTCAGGTTGTGGACACTGAACCTGCACAAATGAGTGCAACGTTAAATTTTGACAACACTGAACTTTGGCAGTAGCAAACAATGACAAGTCACACACTGTAAGTTGTTTTTAATGTTGGTTATCCTGAAAACAAAAGCCCACGGCTCTGAAGATATTCGCTGCCTTGAGGAAACTGAAGTCAGCTTCTTATTCTCCAGCTTTTTCTTCGAATATGCCCAATCCACCTTAAATGGTGCTGCAGTTACATTCTGGTGCCTCAGCCTATTCCCCAGATTTTTGTTTGAATTTTTCTGGTACGCTGGTATGAATGGATCAGACACAGCAGTGCTGCTGGAGTTTTTAAACACTGTGTCCACTCACTGTCCACTCTATAAGACACTCCTACCTTGTCAGTCCACCTTGTAGATGTAAAGTCAGAGACGATAGCTCATCTGCTGCTGCACAGTTTGTGTTGGTCATCCTCTAGTCCTTCATCAGTGGTCACAGGACGCTGCCCACAGGACACTGTTGACTGGATATTTTTGGTTGGTGGACTATTCTCAGTCCAGCAGTGACACTGAGGTGTTTAAAAACTCCAGCAGCACTGCTGTCTGATCCACTCAGACCAGCACAACACACACTAACACACCACCACCACATCAGTGTTACTGCAGTGCTGAGAATGACCCACCACCCAAATAGTTCCTGCTCTGAGAGGGTCCATAGGGGTCCTGACCACTGAAGAACAGGGTAAAAGGGGGCTAACAAAGTATGCAGAGAAACAGATGGACTACAGTCTGTAATTGTAGAACTACAAAGTGCACCTATATAGTAAGTGGAGCTGATAAAATGGACAATGAGCGTAGAAACAAGGTTATAATGTTATGCCTGATCGGTGTATAGCATAGAAAAGCAAATCTATAGACAAGACAGCATCTGCAAACTGTACTCGTTGTGTGTGGTGAGAAGAAATCTACCTTTACCGCTGCTTCTCCATGATGGAGAATGAGCAATGTCAACATGTGTCAGAAAGATGAAATGACCCAAATGACCCAAAGTCTGTGCTGTCCACATCCAAGCCTTTTGGCCGCTGTTCACCACAAAATCAAAGAGATGCTGTTTCCAGAGCATGGAGAAAATGTATTTTCCAGCAAAGTAAGACCAGAATTTCCCCAGACTTTCCACATCTGCTTTGAAGTAGTTGTGTGATTCGTTCACTCTCTCTTTGATATTCAAATGAGAGTTAGGTGCTGTAGCCAATATGATTTTGTCAGAGGTGAACTTTGGACACCGTCCTGCATGATTGTGCACGTAATGAAGAGTTGGAGTCAGAATCTGGCACTGATTTGCATCATCACACGGGCAGTATCTCCCACACTCCTGAGACTTGCATATCCTCCAAAGTACACTAAATAACCCAAATCAAGTCCTTACAAACACTCTGTTTATCAAGCTGTCTTTTCTTCAATATATCTTACTATACCGTGTCTCCCCATAGTGCCTGTATATTATCCTTAGGAAGTGGTGAGACTTTGAAACGTTAGAAGGGATGGAACTAAAAATACACTGCGGCAGGGCGTGTTACCAGAGCAGCGAGTTGTCCCTGTCTGCCCAAAAAATGTACCCCTGTTCTGTTCTCATGCAGTGGGGAAAAGCCGCAAGACAAACATTTTTTTTTTTTTGCATGGTCTGCAGAATGGGCAGGGCTGGCTCCCTTAGTGAATCAGGTGCTCTCTCTAGTGAAGCGGAAAGAGCACGGAAAGGGGAGAGACCAAGCTTGTCTGCTCTTATAGTGCTATTTAGTAGTGACTGAAAGCGAGGAGCTCACAACTCCTGATCTCTTGTCCTCTATTTGTCTTGAGATTTCAGATATTTAAGGGAGTTTCCCAGTTTTACTAATACGTTTGAGCTGTGTTTTTCTACTTAGTGAGGATCTGTTGTAGTGTTTAAACTCTTTTGGGAAATATAAATGATTATTATTCTTAAATATAAGAAACATCTGAATGTAATTAGGCTAGTTTTCCACGGTTACTCCGCATTTTAAATGCCATTCCTTGCCAAAAATGGTGATTATTCTTTTTCTTTAGAGCTGATGTTGCCGCCCCTTAAATTTTCACACAGTGAAATCAGACTAACCATGCTTTCTTCTCTCCTCAGACAGGGCAGGTTTAAGGGTCCGGGTCGTGGATCTAGCTTGACCACCATCTTCCACCAGAGAAATCAAAGAGCAAGAGAAGAAAAATAAAGAGCCTGACATCATCACTCCCACATAGGAAAAGATGGGGGAGACAGAGGATGAGAAGAGCCAGGCATCTAAGCTGTTTGAGAACTTTGTCCAGGCACCTACATGTAAGAGTACACTGCAGGCTTTTAATATCTTGTGTAGTTACCTAGAGTTGGATCCCCTGGAGCACAGCTCCTTCTACAGCAGCCTGAAGAGCAAGCTCACCTGCTGGAAGGCCAAAGCGCTATGGAGCAAGCTGGACAAGAGAGCCAGCCACAAGGAGTACAAGAAAGGCAAAGCCTGCACAGGCACAAAGGTAAGTCTGCAGAGAGATGCCATTGCTTCTACGTTTCTCACAGTCTGCAGCATAAAACATGGGGAGGACCTTATGAAAAGACTGAATTTGAATAGTTTATATAGTTTTAAATGCTAAAATAAGTGCAAAGGTTTGTTTGCAGACTTTCTGAAGACATTTAAAGCATACAGTACCCCTCACTTAGGCATTGAGGCAATCTGGCTTTGCGGTTCAGAGTGTTGTATAAAATGACATCATCAAATGAATGACGTCAGTGCCAGATGTAGTTTGTTACACCAACGCTTTGTGGATTTCAGGCCTGTCATCAGTTCTGTGCGCTCACTTTTTCGCTGTTCAAGGGAATGCCATGACAACAGCCAATGCTGACTTTTTGTTCTGTCATGACTCCCTAGCATTGGCTTTAAAATTGGGAGGCACCAATGTGAAAATTCTGAGCTGATGCCGATTTCTGATGCTTTGCATGTACGTATCTGCTGATGCAGATACACAAGCATTTATAAAATTGAAATTGGGACTTAATCTTAAACAGCGTTAGAAAGAAGTATAACATTTATTTCTAAAGGGTTAAACATATAGTAAATGATTAAAATGCATACGCCTTAGCACAATGGCCAGCGTTCTTCCCTTTCAAAGTATAGTAAATGTCATCAAATTTCAGTTTGAAGTATCAGTCAAATCTAAGTACCTTTCCAATGTTTCTTAACAATTATATACTGATACACATAAAGATTAGATCATTTTGCATACCTAAATTAAAACGTATCCCCCTGATGAATTAGGCATGGTAGGATGAATAGTTAATCGATTTTCCACATTTTTCTTAATTGTTAAATCTATACTTTCATAGTTCATTAACATTGTTTTCATCATGTGAACGCAGGGTTGACATGAAACCTAAACCTAAACCTAAACCTAAACATGAAAATTGAGTGTTTTCCATTGGGTGAATACACTTGACAATTTTCCAACTTGATCAAAGCTCTCAGTTTCTCTTTCTTGCTCATTCCTTTATTTAAATTATGGATTCTTGTTGTAATGAAGGCTCTCAGGGGCAACTGTAGCTTTCCACTTTGCTGTTGCTTTTGTCAGTTTGCTGCTTGTTAATTTCTCCATAGGTCTCTGGCGAAACTGTCCAATGTATAAAAGGTCTATAATTGTGGATTTTATCATAGCAACATACAGATTGCAAGCAGCTGGCCTTAAGCCTAAACTACTACAGATAAATTGAAAGGTTAAAATTAACTATATTACAAAATATTAGGTGTGCGATATGGAAGAAATATTACGATACTTTAAAACATTTTACAATACACACTATGCATCAGAGTATTTAGTTCTAACAGTCAAAATAGAACATGTAGTGCTATATATAAAAAAAATCATAAAGCTACAACTACAATGACTAAATGCACTAAATCCAATTTAATAGGCTCATATATGCTCACTTTTTAATGAAAAATGTAGTTATTTCTTTAAGTACTGACAGTACTTAGAAAAGCATATTGTGACATAATTTGTCAAGATAACGATAAAATATCATCATGTTGCCCACCCTTAAAATATATATATATATGACATTATGTGTTCAAAATAAAATGTGATACAGGCATTTTTGTATGGTCCAGTGGGGTCACAGAGGATTTCATTCAGTGTTCCACATCTATCAAGAAGGAACACACACACTCACACCTGCACCAGCTTGGACTCCCCCTCATATTTTTTTTCTCACAAATTTGTTTGCTTATCTCTGAGTAAGTGTACTGATATGAAACAGAGCTTCTCAGTTTTTATAGACAGTCACCATAATGGCTTCATACACAGACAGCTTCACTCAGCAGATATGATTATTTGAGGTGGTCTGACTGCAGGCTGGCTTTTTATGAGGCTCCCCTACAATAAAAGCTTCCATGGACCAGTGCCCAGAGTATTATTAAAGTGAGTCTGAAGCGTTTCAAAATGTCTAGAATTTAACAAGTCCCATTTGATACCAGCCATAAATGCCCCACTGACTTTCTTGATGTGAAAGAGAGCAATTATGCAGCGCTTTTGAGGTTGTAATTTACCTCACACTGCTATAAAGATGGTAATTATACACAGTAGCCCTTTTTGAAGCCTTTCTCACTTTGATGAGATACAGCACGGCATACTTTAATGACACTTTGACACAAACAGACCGGTACTGTACTATGGATCATTACCAATATTTACACAGTGATATGCAGAGGTTGGACTTGGATTAAGATAGTTAGGGTAGCGTGGGGTTTTTCTAAATATGTCTGTGTCACGATCCTACATGTATGACTTATGAGGTCTTTGCAGGCAATGCCCATTGAGAAAGGAGTGATGAATGTTAGACTGAGAGGCCAGAGTGGCACCTGATAAAACATGTCAGTCGTGATGAATAGTGGGCCTTCTGCCTCTCTCATACTGTCGTGACTTTTTCTTTTAAGCGGAGAGCATGACGTAAGTGATGGGTTGCTGTGAAATGTAAAGGAAGGCTTGCAAACTGACATGATATCACTCTTCACTCTGCCTCCAAATGTGTTCTAAGTCCCAATCTGCACAGGATATGAGGTCATACTCACACTATCAACCTTCTCAGCAGGACTGAATGCTTTAGTGATGCTTTTTTGCTGTTATTTGCTGCCTTTGTTACCGTTGCTATGGCTCCCAGTCAGGCTTTATTACATGGTTCGCTCAGCCACTACAAATACCAAGTATGGCAAAATATTTAATGAGGCGAGAGATTATATTCTGCATTTCTCTTGACCACTCGTTGCCTTTTATATTCAAATTGCCAGACAAAAAGAAGCAGGTCCTTAGGAATGATTGGACTTTCTTAAGCTCAACTTGTCTTTCTTAAGACCAAGTGGACATTCTTTAGGCCAGTCATTGGTGCCAGAGTTTGGAGCAAGTGTTTGGAAGTGGTTGCATTTTACCACCTCCATTATACCAAAAAAAACCCAGACCACTCTGTCAGCACATGAGGAGAAGCGCTGTGTTTCACATTTCCATGCTCTTCGTGCTCCAGTTTTGCTGACAGCTACGACTCTGTGACTTAATTTTTTCATGATGTCTTTGACTGCAAAGTTTACTCTGACTCTTCCAGAGTCAGACCCTTTGTAAGCTCAGACAGGTTCCCTGCATTTCCCTGACTTTCTTCCGTGCTTGTTGTACACAGAGCCGACTGCCTGTCCGTCTGGACTGCCAGCTCATGCTGTTGTTGCTCTCCCGGTGGTCTGCCGCACTTGATTGAGTACGTTATTCTGACTGTGTGATCCAGAGCAGTCTGCCTGCTGCAATCAGACAAGCATGCTGGGATCACATCATGTCTACAGGAAGCCCCTTTTGTTTTCCGAAAGCTAGGTTAAGTATGTGTGCGTGAGGGGTGCAACGATAAAATTTTTAGGAGATAATGTGGTTTTCATATTGTGATAAATTTTTAAAACTGAACCATTATTTTATTTTTTTAGTCAAAAATCCAGTAACAAAATCAAACCCATAATATCTGGCGAAAGCATAATTAAAGCCCCTAGTTAGGTTTATCTTGCTCTTGTAGGCACACAATATACATGTACAAAGTGTCCTGTACCCTGTAAATGGCCAATGGATTATGCCAAAATTCTCCCCTTTCAGTATAAACTGGGCTTAATCTAAAGTAGAGCTTGCGTAAACATGGTCTTTACCAGTCACAAGGCTGAAGTGGACACCACAAAACAAAACTATGCATTCCGCACCATCTCTCTGTCTTTTTGAGCCAGAGAAAAGCTAACATGCATAACTATCAAACTAGCTCGTCTGTCTGTCTGCCTGCCGGTCGTCCCTTTGTCTGGCTGACCATGCCAGCATTCTGTGTGTGTGCCAGATAAAGTTTTCGTAAACTGTAGACGTTGTGAGGTAGTATACACAATACATGTATGTAAATGCTGTTTACTCATTTCTCTTTGCTTGTGCTATTGTGTTTTGTTCTGCTTCAGTGGCATAGAGTGGGAGTGTTGGGTAGACACATGTCAATCAAGCTTGCACATTAGAATATTAGATCTCGCTCAGACAGGTCTCAAAAGGTCTGATTAGTGAGTGTAGCTGTTTTTTGATTAGGTTTTTTACACAATAAATTTAAGTATACACAGAGTGTAAGTGGTTTTGGGCATAGTGTAAGGGATTTTTATTTTTTTTTACTTTCGTGGTCATCTCTTTTAGAAATATCATGGAGTATTTTGTAATCAAACAGTGGAAACTATTCCAATTTATGTCAGTACGTCTCACATATCACATTTTTTGAATGGAATAAAGTCCAACCACATTCGATTCACACTGCATGTTGTTTTCCAAGCACTATATACAAAAAAATGAACATTATAATGCATTTGTAGTATGTATGGCTATGGTCACACGACAAGCCTCATTGTTTAATTGTTTTTTTTTTTTGCTCTGTTCTGATCTGTCTAACTCAACGTTTCACAGTTGTGTCTCAAATCGGTCATTACTGTGAATGAGCCTGTGCCCTAAAACGACCCACATGCACACTTCCTTGTCAATAACGTCACATAAAGGAACGATGTGCGTCACGAACAACAATCTAACAGAACAAGCTGTTGTTGCAGAGATAATTCACACTGAGCAGTTCTCGGCTGTTTATTATTAGAATAAGATGAAGGTGAAAAAGGGTTCGATGCATTTTCTGCAGCGTTTGCTGGCACTAACGTCAGGTTCAGCTCTGCTGAATGATGGCGCATGGGCAATGAAAAAAAATACAGGAATTCCCTTCTGAGCATTCTCACATGAATGGCCATGATTTGAAGTCCACACAGCTCTGAAAAATCAGATGTGTGTCTCATTAAGGCAAAAAATCAGATTTGTGCCACTTCAGCCTGGTAATGTAGATGTATAACATAGTGAGTGAGTATAAGGGGAGTTGGATTCCTGTCAGTGGAAGCTTACCAGGATGTTAAGTGGCTATGGGTCCAGTGGGCGCCACAACTTTCATCAGGAAGCATCGTCAGGCAGGTCATGCATGCCAATTCCTGTTCTGCAGACTTTTCCATGTGATAAGAGGCAAGAGGCTGCCCTGTGGTGGGATAGTGTCTAACTGACACTGACCCGGGCCATGTGGAGCTCCAGCTGCACCGTTCATAAAGTGCAGATTCTATCCTTCTGATGACATGACCAGTATCATCCTTTCTTTATTGGTCCCAGTTGGAGGTTTATGAGAGCATAGAGGATTAACATGAATTACTGTACTTTTCCCTCATGATCTATAGTGATCTCACGGCTCCCCAATCCATCTTAATCAGTAGATGGAGAGCCCCTAAACCGATACCAGATCAGTACTTGAAAAACAGTACAGGAAAGAGATCAACGCTGATTAAAAAAGGAAACGCCACACCTCCGCTCTCTCTCTCTCCCTGCTGAGTTCAGAGCCTGAGAGGAGATGAGCCAAAACAATACAGCTCTCACTATGATAGTATCAGCTCTGATTGATAGAACTTTTCATTAGATATTTCACCTAGCTGTGGCTCTGAGGCAGTACAAAAAAGTAAAGGATTGTATCTGCTCTGTGTGTTTTAGCTAATGCAGGCTACAGCCATGTGAGAGAAAGCACACCTGGGCTGCTCTTTGCTCCAATCTGTGTTGTTGGTAGCGGGGTGCTTTAGCTTTCGTCACTGCTTATGCAGAGAGGAGCTGAGACAGGTCCGTGCAGGCAGAGCCTCTCACTCACCTGTGCCTGCAACCTGGAACCATAACTGTAGCGGGCTCTTCCCTAAGCTCCGTATACAGCTTTTTCTCGCTGTTTTACACCCTTCTCTTCCTGTCCTTACCTTCTCTATCTTTCTGTCTCTGTCCTTTTCTCTCTCTTTCTTTGTCTATCTCCTTTCTCTCATGTTTAATTCCTTTCACTCTCCCTTGCTTTCTACAGCCTCATTTGAGAAAGCACACATTTTGATTTGGCAGTTTTCAGTCTGCAAGCCATTTTTAGGAGGGTTTGGGCAGCTTGAACCTTTGGCTCCATAAGAAGCCACTGTGGACAGAGCTGGGGACAGCCAGAACAAGCACTCTGACCTTCACAAACATGATAAGATCCCTTGGTCCACAGGGATTGAAGCACAATGTTGTGGTACAGTATTGATTCAAATGAATGTGCCTGTGAATCCCTACTGCCCTGGGGGCATGCATACAATTTGACAGGAAGTGTGAAGCACTGTACAAATATGCTAGTGTCACTGTAGCAGCATTGCTTTTGCTTGGGTTCAGTTAACCACATCCTGAAAAAATGCTTGTAATATCATGGAAAGGGAGGAAATTAAAGCATCAAAAAGAAAAAAAAACATCAAACTGGGCCAGAACACCTGGATTTGCATGGCTAAGAGAAACAGGGTCTGTTGAATGACTCAAGACTAGATTAGTAAAAAGATGAGATGTGCAATAACCCCCTCTGGTCTTTCATCCCTGCACCAGAGGGAATGAAGTCATCCCCACAGCAGGCATTCTCAGACATGTTCTGTAACCTGAAAATCTGACTTCATGCATTCTTCTGGTGCTGATGCACCAAGCATGACTTTGATATGACAGGGCTGTAATTACAGTTTAATGTGGAAGAGATCGCACATGTGCCTCTGGTGTTTTGGCTGGTACAGTGTTAAGTATGGTAAACAGCCACGACCTCTTTCCTTAGAGTTGGTCTTTAAATATTTTGTTCTCTGTAGCACAGGCTCTTCTAAAAGTGGGTCAGACCTCTGCATATGCCACCAAATCAAATAGACTACTTGGTTTTCAAATAAGATAAATAGCTGTTAAGAGCCACGCAGTAAAAACGCAAGAACACTTCTCAAGGGGAAGATACTGCAGCCTTGTAGGCCACCACCATCACTTTTTCAAGGTTTTATATCCTCAAGTGTGAACATCTATATTAAAAACAACAAAAAACTGGTAACCTTCTGGACATCATACATAGTGAGACTTTAAGAGTTTTATTTTTCTATCGTGCAGTATTTATCTTCAGCCTCTCTACTGTGGCTCATAGATACATTTTATCTGCATTACTATATTGTTATTTCCTTGCCCTCTCAGTCTCTCAGTTTCTGCTGTTCACATTTGCAGTGTCTGATAATTGGAGGAGGCCCCTGCGGTTTGCGGACCGCTATTGAGCTGGCTTTTCTAGGGGCTAAAGCAGTAGTGATCGAGAAGAGAGACACATTTTCCAGGAACAATGTTCTCCACCTCTGGCCCTTCACCATCCATGACCTCAGAAACCTGGGGGCAAAAAAGTTTTATGGGAAGTTCTGCGCCGGGGCCATAGACCATATCAGTGAGTACTCTGCAGTGTATTCAACATACCATATTTCATAATACAGAAGAAGTTCATGTTTTTATGGGGAAGTAATTCTCTTCACTTCCCTGTTTGAGTCTTTTGTTAGACATTCCTTTGTTGTGTTCGTTTTCTCAGTTAAGTTTTCCTTAAATGTGTTGGTATCTGTTCATATTGTACATGATTGGTTAAAGATTCAAGGTTCAAAGTTAAGTGTCAGAAACAAGACGGTCAGCGTCCCAGAAAGAAGAATGAATCCTGCGTTCACTCATATGTGTTTTGTTTTTGTGTGCCTTACCGTGCACTGTTAGCATGCTTGTTGGGGCTGATGGTTCTTGTCTCGGGTATGTTTGTCAGGTATTCGGCAGCTCCAGCTCATGCTCCTCAAGATTGCTCTACTTGTAGGGGTCGAGTTCCACATCAACGTGGAGTTTGTAAAGCTCTTGGAGCCTCCAGAGGATCAGGAGAATGAGGGTGAGTCCGTCTCTACATGGGCCAAACCACAATAAAACCTGAATAGTTTCTTGTCTGACTAGCCAACCACCATCCACACTTCAAAGAGCCATTTATCTGACATCACACTGCGGGCTGTCAGATGATAACCTACCAAACTTGTTTGTCGATTCGTCTACTATAATTAACCTCAGTAGCTGTTATTTCCACTTTTGTCATAGCAAATATATGAAACAGAATGATGAGTTAGCCTGGAAGGATTTGGGTTTAGTTAACATCTGTAATGTTTTCATGTGTGCTCCGTTTGAGAGTCCAGAGAGCTGTCAGTTTTCCATTAGCACCTACAACTCCCTCACCTCTGCCTCACTTTTATCTGTAAGACAATGGTAGGACCGAACAGAGGACTTCCTCTTTGACTCACTCCATAAACGGTCACTATGACAACCGCCCAACAGCAGCCCTGCTGTTAATGTCATTTTTAATGCCCATGGAAAAGTTCCCTGTTTTTAGCTAGCGGTCTCCTCCCAAGTTCTGTTGTTATTTTATGGCCGTAGAGCATGCACAGACTCAGTACACATGGCAAGGGTTTTTCCCTTTTAGGAGAACGAGAGATTATTACATCAGCTAAATGAAGAACTGATGATTATGAGCTGATCAATGTAATTAGAAACATGTCTCCCAGGTCCACTTGTAATTTGCTTCCAGATGTGGTTATGCTTTCATGTGTAAACGGGTCCTTTAAGGAGCTGCTCCACTACATAAGACTGTTCCTCAGGGACTCAGTTGATTGGACTCCCACACTAAGGACATTAGATACCTCAGTGAACTGATAAAAAACAAGAGGGCTTTCTAATTTAAGAACCTTCGGCTACTGTGACCTTGTTCCATGGCCTTGAGAAGAGATGCATGTTTCCAATGGTGCAGCCCAGTTGTATCACATACCACTGTCAACCTCAGGTCATTTTATAGTGAGGCTCTGTTTTGCACTACGTTTGTGGTGTTGATGCATTAAATGCAGTGATTTAATGTGGTGAACTGTGAAGCAATATGCTGCTCCTCATGTGTCTTATGTAATTTAGAAACTATGCAGGGTGCTAAGCGGGGTTTTGTAATGTGGCACATTCTTCTCATATTTTGCAGTTGCTCATTTTTGTTCAGTTGTATGCAGCTGTGAATGCACAAATCGGAAGCGGTAAAACTGGTTCATTAGCTTTTTTACTTTTTAAGGTATCAGTACTGAGTAGCTCCTGCAAGATGACATATGCCGCATGAGCTCAGATAAATGAAGAGTGTCCACCTCTGCCATCTGAAGGTGTTACAGCACCAGTCAGAAGAACTTTTGTTATTGTAAGACCCATGTCTGAATAAAAAACCCGGCAGAATAAAATTTCACATTCTGTTTGTTATGCTAACAACTGTGTGAAATAACTGTTGTTATAAAATGTTAACATTGTCACAAAAACCTAGTACAGATGAACATGCATGCTTTTATCAACCTTCATTTTAAACTGTGTTATGGTCAGCACTATGGGCAGGCTGTATTGACCCCTAAAGAATGTGTTCATGTCCTGCAGGGCCCGGTTGGAGGGCGGAGATCCGACCGGCAGATCACCCTGTGGCTGACTTTGATTTTGACGTAGTGATCGGGGCTGATGGGAGACGGAACACTCTCGAAGGTCGGTGCATCAGAAATTTCTTAAATTAACATGTCCTACACTAAATACACTCATGTGCATCCTATGCATTTACACAGTATCCAAGTGGCTATAATTATCTTTGCTCTATAAATACAGACAAAATGTTCCAGGGTAACTAAAACAGCTTAGAATATGATATGGTAGCATGGCAACACAAATAGCTTGTCACATGGCCTTTCAACAGCATCTGAGTATGTTTTTGTTGAACCTGTATTCATAATAAGCTATGGCACTTCATAAAAAGTAGCCCCAGAACATTCTGGAAGATCTGCCTTTACAAAATAAAGTCGTCAGACAGAATTCAGGACACACTCTTGCCATTCACTCCTTATCAGCAGTGGAGCCTAAATGATTATGACTGAGAGAAACTTGGCTGTTGCTCTTGGCTGTATGCCCTTACCATTTCAACTGGATTGTTTCATCCAAGAACGTTAGAAAGCCATAAAATCAAGTCCTGCTCTGTAAAACGATAGCCCATGATGTCATCAGGCCCTTGCCAAATGCGAGGTTACACGTGAAATCAGTGGATCAGTGTGCGTTCCTAAATAGCGCCGTGGGCTGAGTCTTGCTGGCCGCTACTCAGCTGTTGATGCTTGCCTTTTGGACTCTTTCCCCCCACACCCGTCATCTTTGTACCTATCCCCAAACAGATGCTTATTCCAAATAAGGTAATTCTTGGGCTTCTCTGAATGATGAGCCGTTTAGCTCATTGCACAATTATGAGTAACTTTTAAGGGGGGGAAAAAACATGGTTCTTCAGTTCACCCTGTGCAGTAACTGGGCTGTTTCAGGCCGCCTGGGAGAAGTTAAATATGTTCCCCCCTCTGAGGGTGCGCACTCGTGTGAGGGGAGCGCCACTGCATTTGGAGATGGTGATGGGGTGCGTGCGTGGGCGAGGTGACGTCTCCGTGAACTAATGCGACAGTAATGGAACAGCTCTGGCCAGTAATCAGCTGCCAGCCTGGCCTGAGAGGCACTTTGTAGAGCCTCATACATTATTTTGCAGGACAGGAGCCTAGAGACTGTTTGTCCTCCTTGCTGTACTGATCTACAGACCCGGACCTGCGAGGTAATGAGGACACGCACTTTAACACACACTGTTTAAATACGTCCTGCATACTGAAATGATATGGAACTGAACAGTGTGTTCTGTGGCTATTTCTTTAGTCAGGCAGTGAAGAAAATATGCCGTTTTCCATCCCAAAGGTTCTGATAGATCTATTTAGATAGTGCGTCGCTTTAGGTCCCATAGCATGAAACCACTCTTACCTTTGTGGTGAAGCCAAGCTCGCCTGAGCCTAAAATAACCAGGCTGTGATTTACGCAGCAGCAGATTTCCCCTGGATTAGTGTGCCTCCGCCTGGCAGGAAGAAAAAAGTGCCACATCACTAGCTTCCATTCTATCTCTCTCTTTCTCTCTACTTCTCTCTCTCTCTCGCTCCCTCCCTCTCTCTTCCTCTCGTTGCCTCCCTCTTGCCCTATGTCTCTTGCCCTCTCTCCCTCCCTCTCTCTCTCTCGGTCTCTCTTCCTCATTCCCTCTCCCTCTCTCTCCCCCATCTCTCTCACTCCCTGTCTCCCTCCCTCTCTATGTCTCTCTCCGACCCTCTCTCCCCCCTCCCTCCCCCCTCTCTTTCTCTCTTTCTTTTGGTTGCTTAGTTGTTTGCTTATAGAGTCTCTTTCTTTCTGTCTCTCTCTGTCTTTCTACTACTCTTTCTCTCTATAACCACCCCACTCCCCAAAGCAGCATTTGACCTCAGTGCCTTCTTCCCTGCCATGTCCCCCAGTATTAACCCCTCTTCTCTCTGTCCTGTCTCTCAGGGTTTCGACGGAAAGAGTTCCGTGGGAAACTGGCCATCGCCATCACAGCGAACTTCATCAACAGAAACACGACAGCAGAGGCCAAAGTGGATGAGATCAGTGGTGTGGCCTTCATCTTCAACCAGAAGTTCTTTCAGGACCTCAAACAGGAAACAGGTGAGAGTAAAAAAAAGACAATAACAGCAGAAAGTATGTCTATAAGATGACACAGGTTTTCCAGCAGTACCTTTGCCTGCTAGCATTAATTTTTATAATTGTAAGCCATACATCTCCCATTCCATCCATGTCACTATGAGCTTAGAAAGATGTAAATGTTCTCTGTTTCAAACTGAGCCATATTTAAATTCTCTTACTTTTATTTATCCAAAAGTATTTATGCCTCTCCTGCCAGGCTTTTGCACAGGTACAAACACATTAGGTCTGTGTACCTGTTATGACTAGCCTCTATTACAGCTGAATTCCTTAGTAAATCCTCTCTCAAACACCTGATCACCCCAGCAGAATCATTGCTGTACATTTGTAGATAATACAAAAGAACAGATAATATGATTTATGATAGACATGATAAATCATATAATTCATTATTCTGAAAGTACTTCAGCTGAGACGTCCATTCTCCTTTGAATGATACATCTTCTAACGGTTGTGTCTCTGACGCAGGCATTGATTTAGAGAACATCGTGTATTATAAAGACAACACACACTACTTCGTCATGACGGCTAAGAAGCAGAGCCTTCTGGATAAAGGAGTCATCATTTATGTGAGTAGTGGCTCTAGCTTGCTGAGCAGCCAAGAGGAAGTGGTTTAAGGAAGGTGTGGCATAGTGTATGGTGACTGTTATTGTAACCTGCCAGTGTAAGAGGCTGTGGCCATGCACTCTTATAAACATAGCAAAGAGGGCATAAACATTTGCAAGGACAACATATTTCACCACCTTATGATCTCCCTCTCTCTCTTTCTGTTTTTATTCTCACTCACGCTAACTCACACATAAGCACTCTCATACTCAGTGGTATTTAGGTCTAACCACTGATGCACAGTTTAGACCGACCCTGACTCACTGACTGTGTTGATCCATAAAATAATTTAGAGAGTAGGAAATGTCATTCAGATTGCCTCAGTAAGGGTGGTCAGTTTAGAGAAATCGTCCAACCAAGTCTGTCTCCACCATGCATGCACTTCATCGAGCAAAACAATTCCTTTTCGTAGTCTTTTGGAAAGAGTGGTGCCTGGAGAAGTTCCTGTTTTTGAGTGATCTCTGACAGCTTCTGTAGTTTCACTTAAGATTTAAAAAAATGATCTTAAAAAAGCAGCTTCCCCTGAAGTGCTAACAGCAGCATGTTAATGTGTTGTGTTCTGGCTGCAACAGGACTACATAGACACAGATGCTCTGCTGAGCAGTGAGAACGTGAACCAGGAAGCCCTACTAAGCTACGCTCGGGAGGCTGCTGACTACGCCACCCATTACCAGCTGCCCACACTGGACTATGCCATGAATCACCTTGACCAGCCGGATGTAGCCATGTTCGACTTCACTTGCATGTATGCCTCAGAGAACGCTGCACTGATCAGAGAGAGGTTTGGCCATCAACTGCTGGTGGCACTGGTGGGAGATAGTCTGCTGGAGGTGGGTTGATGAACTTGGCATCAGTGATATATAAGAGATTTAAAAATGGTAACTTTTAAAATTTTTAAATTAAAAAAATGATTTAAAAAATTGTTAAATCAATTGTACCATTCAGAACATGTCAGATGTCACAACCACACATTAATGGCTACTGAAAATGAGTATAAACTAGTCTATAGACACCCATATAAATGTATATTTATAATAATTTTACATGTTATGATTTTTGAGGTTTCAAACACAAGATCATGCCAAACTCTTCTACTTAGAATATTTTGTTACTAAATCACTTTTTTAAATAGTTTCATTTTTTGATTAGATGTTAGATGGCATACTTAAAATGACTTTTAATTGAAGTTCTTGAAAATATATTCACAGAAAGGAAGTATTGTAGAAATATTGATATATATCTCGTATTTAGTAAACTATTTTACAGGAAAATAATGGACTTGGACACAAAAAATGTATATCATGTAACCTGCTGTATGAGCACTTGGTCTTTTAGGTGATCGGTTTTGATTATTTGATGAGTTTGACGTCTAACTTTTTGGTATTTTTCTTTGTGTCCATAGCCTTTTTGGCCTATGGGTACAGGGTGTGCCCGTGGCTTCCTGGCAGCTTTTGACACAGTGTGGATGATCAGGAGCTGGTCACAGGGCAGAAACCCACTGGAAGTGCTGGCAGAGAGGTTGGGACAGTTACAGAAAATATGCATGCCACATTGTACCTACATAGTAGTAGCACATCCACCTTGTACCTGGCTGTTTTAGCAGATTCATAGGTTCACTGACTGTTTCTGCACAATTTATCATCCAGCCTTTACCGTGTCCATCAATGAGATAGGACCATCACGGGCCCACCACTGACCAGATATTATATGTTCATCATATTGGACCTTTCTCAGCACAGCAGTGACACTGACATGGTAGTGGAATTTAAGTGGGTGTTACACTTGTGCAAGAGTCAGACTCTGCAGAATTGCTTAGGTTTTTAAACACCTCAGTGTCACTACTGTGTTTACAATAGTCAGCCAGTCAAAAGTGGTAATGTGGTCAAAAACTGACAACTGATTAAAGGCTAGAGGATGGCTGACCTAAACTGTGCAGGTACAAATGAGCTGTTGCCTCTAATTATACACATTCAAGGTATACAAACAAAGTAGTTGTGTCTAATAAAGTGGACCGTAGGTAGGTGTAAGCACACTAACACAGAGACATGGTTTTCTTCTTCAGGGAGAGTCTTTACCGGTTGCTACCTCAAACTACACCTGAAAACATTGCAAAGAACTTTGATCAGTACACCATAGATCCTGGAACACGTTATCCAAACCTGAACTCCAACTGTGTCAGACCACACCAGGTGAGATGACCTTTTATTTTAATAGTTGATGCTTAAACATTATACCATTTACACCCGTTCTCACCGTTTAAACCTGCTCTGCACAGGTCCGTAACTACTACATATGTGGGGAACTGAAGTCCTGCTCTTTGGAGCGAGCTGCTACTATACGGCGCCCAGTTAATCTGGCACGACGAGGTCAGCATAATCATTCTTCACTTTGTGTACCCATTCCATGTTTGGATGTTGTCGCATGCAAACTGGCACATGTTCGACAAAAGAATGTAGAGAAATGGGGAATCTCCAAGCTTCATTAAATGTTCAAGGCATTCTGTTCCCCAGATTATTCTCACTCCAAAAACATTCCCAAAATAGCATTAAGGGTGTGGTTCTCTAATGTGTGGGATTGTTTTTACTAGTGGAGCCACATTGGGAGGAAGGCTTTTTCTGAAGACTCCCATCGTAGTTGGTGGCCTCTTTGTACATACAGTAAAGCTGCCAGAAATCTTTGTTCATGCGGAACTGTTGGAAAACCATATCATATATCTCATCTCATATATTTATTTAGTTCTGCTTCCGCTAAACCAGCAACAATGCTTTTTAAAAATGTGAAGTTGCATAGCTTTTAGGCTGGCGAAAGGAGGCTACTAACCAAAGCTGAACTTGAACTGAACGGCAGAGAGATAGACACAATACCGTATAACAGAGTATAATTACAAAAGTGTATGCTAATAAAAATAAATAAAATTATTTATTTAAAATTCATTGGACTAGGACATACTTTTTTGTTTAACCCCAACTGGTGCCCATAGGCATGACCTACATCAGTTTTAGCTTTTTTACTGAAATTATATAGGTTTTTGCTGAAATTTGACTAAAACTTTAGTCTTAAGAATAACATGAAATAAAATATTGGTGGCAAATTTAAACAGCAGGAGCTCATAAAGCAAAAAGATAAGTGAGACGACTCAAGACTCTTTACAGGGAAAGGGTTTAGTCTCTGCTCTGGGTCACTAGTGTCCTGTCTTCTATCATCTAACGGTGAATCTGCAGCTTCACAGCTTGTTTTGTGTGTGTGTGTGTGTGTGTGTATATGTGTGTGTGGACATGTCTGGGTTTGTGTTACAGAGTCTGAGATCAGACCCAGCAGGTTGCTGACCTGGTGTCAGAAGCAGACGGAGGGCTATAAGGGCGTGAGCGTGACTGACTTGAGCTCATCGTGGAGGAGTGGCCTGGCTTTCTGTGCTCTCATCCACCGCTTCAGAGCACATCTCATGTAAGAATGCACAGCTTTTGATCATAGACATTTCCTTAAAGGGGAATTCCACTGTTCCATCGTTGTAGAGCAGAGCATGTGAGCAGTGCAGAGTGGGAGCGGAGCGACAGGATTTTTGCTTGTAGCGTGAAGCGGCTTTTCAGAAAGTCTGAGCGATAGTGTCCTCTTTCATTCCGAAATCGCTCCATCCCATGAGCCAGATGCTGCTTTTTCCACCCTGACTACCTCTGTGTGACATGAGTGATGCGGCACTGACTCTACAGCTTGCACATCATGGCACTGATCACAACAAAGCGCATAATTTGTGTGTCATCTGCTTTGTTGCACCAATGATGAGGATCGTGTTAAAATCTTGTGTTTTTGTCTACCCTCAGTAGTTTTATGGCTTGTGCTTGGGCTTCAAGCCTAAACCTTCTGTAAAAAGCTGTGTAGCACAGAATGTTTAACTAGTTTTTTGTTTAATAACGGCCATAAATTATATAATTCATTAAATGAAGTGTGCAGTGTCTTATAAATACATTCAGGGCATAAAATACATATCAGTGGGCCATATCAAGCGGACATAGACGGGTAACAAGGGTTTCGCGGAAGTGTGAGCAAGGAGCGAAAAATATAAAACCCGGAGTTGGAATGGAATGATTACAGAAACGCTTTGGGCAAGGAGAGGAAATGCCTGCCTCACCTCTCCACTCACATGCTTTGTTGTAGAGAAATTTACCAGCTCGGATTTCATTACAGTGGTGATAGGAACAAGGGGTCACAATGTCTATAAAACAAGTATAGCCATTTTATTTACTATCCAGAACCATCAGTGAACCTACATGTGTCTTAACTTGGTTATTATTTACATATATATGTGTGTGTGTGTGTACATTTATAGTTAGTAGCTTACAAGTTAATTTCGTTGTAGTTACAGAATCATTTATAGTGATTACTAAATAATAAGTCTGTAATAAGTCAATAATAAACCTGGAGTTTAAGGGGCTAAGATAATCTCTGCCTTTTATACCTCCGTTTACCCCCAGAATGACCCTGTTACTGCCCTGTGATATGCAGTATATATTATGCTTTAAGATTATATTAATAAAACTGAGGCATCATTTTACAAAACAGATTGGAACCCCATATACCACAAGGCCCCTTTTATGTTACCTTTAATGAATGATTATTTATGACCTTATAGATGATAATAATCTGTTAAAATGACAAATGCAGTGTTTCCTTTTGAAATAGTAGTTTTATGTTACAGTGCGTCAGCATGGTCACCAGACACATAATACATTTTCAGTGGCATATAACTGTAAACGTTTAACAAATATTTACCTAAAATGGTCCGTATGCTGACATGGCCATAAATCCTGCTGTGTGTTGGCAGTTTTTGTGGATGTCTCTCATTTCTCTTTATAAGCTCTTGTTCCAGCACAGTTTGCAATTGTGCAAATCCAAACATGTGCAGGAGATGTGAAAAGTGGTTTGACCTCTGCAAAACCAGCTTTCTCACATTCTGCCTTTCTTCTCTTACATAGCAGTGAGCTCAGGGCAGTTTGGACAGCGCGACTGTGTGCTAGAGTTCACACGCTTATTGAAGGGCCGTATATGTCAAAACCTGTCCAGAGCTGTTATAGATAAAGCGGTTTCTTAGCTACTTTGATAGTGCCAAAATCTTGCATAGAATTTTTGAATGTCTGCATCTTATAAATGGGAGTTTCACAGGTTTTTCAAAAATTCTGCATAGTTCATCGTTGAGATGTGAACAAAATCATTAAGAGTGGTTTGACGTGAAATTTGCAGAGAAATTTACAGACTTGGATCTTCTTTACACTGGTGATGATAGGAACCAGGGGTCAATACCATACCATAAGGCTTTTTATTTAGCATCCAAAAGAAGGGGACTATTTTGTCTTACAACACCCTGAACGTACCTCTCCTCAATGATTGTATGTAAACAATATGTTTTAGGCCAAAACCTAATCTGAGAACTACCATAAAAATGTTTCAGGCTTTAGGCACAGCAACTTGCTGTGAGGGCATTTACCTATTCCGACGTCTGGCACGTATCACCACCACTGTGAACAATTCTGAATCAGAAGTTTCTCTAGAATGGAGCACTGCACATCAAACCACTCTGAATGAGTTTGTTTACAACGTGAAAATTTAAATAATGCACAAATTTTAAAAATGGTGGGATTCCCCTTTAATACTCTCTCTCTGTTCTGTAGAGATTATGATTCACTGAATGAGGAAGATGCTGCTCAGAATGCCCAGCTGGCGTTTGACGTGGCTGAGAAGGAGTTTGGCATCAAGCCGTTTACCACAGGCAAAGAGATGGCGTCAGAACAGGAACAAGACAAGAACAGCATGGTGACCTACCTCTCTAAATTCTACGAGCTCTTCAGAGGAACCCCTCTGCCACCCTCAGGTAAGCAAAATCTCTAATTAGGGTTGGGCATGATAATATTATGTTATCATTATTATGATAAAAACAACATCCAAGAGCACATCATATATATATATATATATATATATATATATATATATATGTATGTATGTATGTATGTGTTGTAAGAAGGACAAATTCTGGCCATTTATAGGGAACCTGTACACAACAATAGAAGGTGTACAGGAACTGCTTAAACTGCATAGTAACAAGTAGCTGAGTGAATGTCAGCTAACCATATCACTGTCTTTTATAATTAGTCTTACAAATTCTTTGTTTTTTCCACCTGTTACTTCTTAAATACTTAGCACTGAACAGAGGAGAGAACTCTGAGAAGTTTGGGCAGGAGTTCTGTGGTGGCTTGTTGAGGGAAAGGGGAGGCCCGGCTTTCTCAATCTCGAGAGAGAGAGAGGAGTCGTGGAAAAGAGGGAAAAGATGGGGTGGTGGTGGAATGCGAAGTTTTCGTCACAGGAAACTAAAGGGAGAGTAGAGATTTTATAGGGCAAAATGTAGAGAAGAATAGAATAAAGGAATGTAGCGAGGGAGGAGGTTTAGGTGTGGTCCTTTCCCCCAAACTTCACTTATTCCATAACTTAATTTATTGCAAATGTTGAATTCACTGTACATTTTTTTAACTAGGTTTTCAGTTCATAATGGATGGTGCATTTTGTCCGTTCCAACACACTCACAAATTTCAGAAAAACTAAATATTGTGAGACATATGATATGATGTGATGCTCTTTATTATGATAATGCATCTTGATGTTATATTTTTGCCATATCACCCGACCCTTTCACCAGTGATGGCTCTCTAGTGTAGTGTGCTCTGTGAAACTCTTATCATTTACATACACGTACAGAAGAGCAGGTTCCAGTTAAAGCTGTGACCTTCATCTCACAATGGGTGGAACATGAGACACGTGTTGTCATGTCTTGCCATTGTCACAAGCTGTCACACCTACCTGACACCACCCCAATCCCTTGACCTGTTTATTGTTTGCTTAAGGAATATCTTTCTTGGGGGGCTGGAGGTTTGTGAAGCGTCTCTGAACAGAGGCACAGTAATAAATGTCACTTGGTTGCGCTGTACTGGAACTTATTAAACAGTTCCATCAGTCATGCAGTTTGGCATGAGAGGAATGTACATCGGCCTCAGCCCCGCTTACTCCACTGAAGATAGAGGTGATGTAGTTCCTATGGAGAGGGCACGCTATCTATGCTACATCGCAAGGCCTATGATGCATTCTTGATAGATCTTGTGCGTGAAGTTGTGCATCATTCTGTTGTCAGCATAATGACCATAAAGACCAGTCTAAGCTAATGGCTTTTTCAGAAAACACCATCACATCTATGGAAATCAGAAATGTTCTAGACCCCATACATTCTCTCCTGTGTAAATTGTCCCCAAGTGTCACTGGATCCTCTGAATTACAAGATCATTTAGCAATCAAAGTACAAATAATGCTAAATATATGCAACGAGCAAGATAACACTCCTTCACATTGAAATGATGCTGCTTAAAAGTAAGTCTGCTCTAATTTGAATCTAATGTCTAACTCTTATTTAACAACACCAGCTACCCAAATTATAGAGTACTACTGCCAAAGCAACTCAACAACCACATTTGACAAAGCTATATGTCAGTTCTGTGTGAAACAGTGTTAGCTTGCTTTAGCATGATTTATATTTCAGCCCCTTAACAAACTCATAATTCAAAGGATCTGGCAAAATGGGGAGGAAACATCCACACAGAACAATGTATTTGCTCTGGAACATTTTCATTGACCGATTTTTGAAAAATGAAAGCCAACTTAGAGTCCCTAATATGGGCGTGACACTACTGAATGATGGCATCAGAGGCCTGTTCTACCTTTACCAGCTTATATGACATGAATACTTCTACAGTAACACCAGCTTCCTAGATGCAGCCAGTCTTGTGGTATATAAAGCTAATTACATACATTCGTATGACATGGTGTCTTTAAGCATTTCCAGTAAAAGTTGCCAGGAAAAAATAACCTTCTACTGGGCATTTCTTGAGAAAACCAGATGTGCTGGGTCTGGCATAGGCTTTCCATTTTGTCATGTAAGATTTCTGTAAATCTGATTAAAAAAATGCTGTGACTACTGCTTTTAATTTTCCAAATATTTTATTGCAGATTCGAGAAGAGAGACACATGAAAATAATGACGAATGTTCCTCAAGACCCTCCCGACCTGTTTATAGATCACTGAGCTTAACACAGCCTCGAAAACGGATACCAAAGGTAGGGGGTGCTGTCCATGAATCAGCTTGAGTTTTATCTCACTTCAAACTCATTTTGTCCAAGTTTGCTTTGGCCTTGAATCACAGTTCTTTCTATCTCTTTTATATATGCATAGTGCTTTTAAGTTGTTGCAGCACTGTTTCTCAGTGTTTGTCCTTCCTTTTTATCTCTCAGGATGACAAAAAGGTGGATGATAATGACTCTTTTTACAAAAGAAGACGAAAAGTATGCAGTTATTTGGAAGAGGTGAGTTTATACATTTACATCATTTACATTTACATTTACATCATTTAGCAGACGCTCTTATCCAGAGCGACTTACAAAAAGTGCTTTGTCTATCCAGAGAAAGTATCTTTGCTAGCTACCAATAGGTTAGAGAGAAAGCCAGTCCTAAGCTCAGATACTGCTAGAATCAGAAGGTCATTGACACCTAGTGAAAAAGGGACAGAGTTAAACACAGAACAGTGCAATACAATACAGTACATAAGTGCTGTACAATACATTACAATCAATACTTAATTTAGTGCTCATTTAAGTGCTGAATAAACAGGTGTGTCTTCAGTCTGCATTTAAAGATAGCGAGAGACTCTGCTGTACGGACGGCCAGTGGGAGTTCGTTCCACCACCTGGGTGCCAGCACAGAGAACAGTCTAGATGCTTGCCTTCCACGCGCCTTGAAGGATGGCGGGTCAAGCCGAGCTGTACTCGAAGCTCGAAGGGCTCGTGGTACAGTTCGAGATTTGACCATTGCCATCAAGTAGGGAGGGGCTGGTCCATTTTTGGCTTTGTAGGCAAGCGTAAGGGTTTTAAATCTGATGCATGCAGCTACAGGAAGCTAGTGAAGGGAGCGCAGCAGTGGGGTGACGTGGCTGAACTTTGGGAGATTGAAGATGAGTCTTGCTGCTGCATTCTGGATGAGTTGCAGAGGCCTGATGGCCTGCATCGGAAGACCAGCCAAGAGCGAGTTGCAGTAGTCAAGCCTTGAGATGACAAGAGACTGCACTAGCACCTGGGTGGCCTCTCTCGAGAGAAAGGGTCGGATCCTCCGGATGTTGAACAGCAGAAATCTGCATGACTGAGTTAGGTTTGCAATGTGAGTCGAGAACGATAACTGGCCATCCAGAACCACACCAAGACTTCTTGCCTCTGCTGATGGGACAATCAGAGAGTTCTCGAATGAGATGGCAAGATCATGATGAGGACCTGTAGTTGCAGGGATGAATAGTAGCTCAGTCTTGCTAGGATTGAGCTTCAGGTGGTGAGCTGCCATTCATGAAGAGATGTCAGACAGACATGCCGAGATCCGACTGGAAACCTGTGTGTCAGAGGGTGAGAAAGAAAGCATTAGTTGAGTGTCATCAGCATAACAGTGATAAGAGAAGCCATGAGATGATATTACATTGCCAAGAGAGCTAGTGTAAAGAGAAAAGAGAAGAGGACCTAGCACCGAGCCTTGTGGGAGAGCCTGCATCACCAGTGGAGAGCCTGCATGGAGAGGATGTGGACCCTCTCCATGTTACCTGATAAGAGCGATCCTCCAGATAGGACTTGAACCACTTCCACGCAGAGCCAGTGATTCCAAGGTTGGTGAGGACGTCCAGAAGGATTGTGTGGTTGACCGTGTCAAAAGCTGTTGAGAGGTCAAGAAGAATCAGGACAGATGACATACTGGCTGATCTTGCTGACTGGAGCTTCTCTGTCACTGCTATAAGAGCAGTTTCTGTTGAGTGCGCTGGTTTGAAGCCAGACTGGTTGGGGTCCTGGAGCTGGTTCTGCGTGAGAAAGAGAGACAGTTGATTATAGACTGCACGTTCAAGAATCTTTGAAAGGAAAGAAAGGAGTGATACCGGTCTGTAGTTGTTGACATCAGAGCTGTCAAGCGTGGGCTTCTTCAGGATGGGAAGTACTCTTGCAGTCTTCAAAGTTGATGGTACTTCACCTGATGACAAGGACTTGTTAATGAGAAAAGTGATGAAGGGCAGTAGATCCTTGGAGATTGACTGGAACAATGCGGATGGAATGGGATCCAGTGGGCAGGTGGTTGGGTTACTGGAAGACTATATTTCAATTAGAAGACAAGCACACTGATTCTTCCGGGGAACACCTCCTCAATTTATCAGCCTTGTGACTGATAGTCCGGCCCCTACAATTCACGCCTTTAGCTAACCCGAAACTACACCTGAAGCTAGTAGTTACAATTAAGCACTAGGTTCTACAAGAAGGCCTTTTAACTAACAGAGTCTAAGCTAGAGAAAGTCTCAACTCAGAGCCTACCTTAACCAGCAGAAAGACTATATTTCAATTAGAAGACAAGCACACATCATGAAAACTTTTTAGGGTGCACAACTATTGTCCTTGCACCCTCTGTTTCATGGAGATGTGACTAATTTGTGTTTTTTTTTGTAATTCTCTTTTTATTTTTAAAAAAAAAACAGAAGAAAATACAAAGTTCACATTATATCAAACAATTGTAACAGTACATCAGTTAGCATCACAATTATGCCTATCTAAGGATAGTTCCATTATGATCCTATTCAACTGCTTTACTTTAAATGCTTGTATGCTTGTATATACCTATGTACACATATATACACATAAATACTTACATACATACACATAATCCTCTTTTTGTAATCTTTGCTTTTCTTATGATAAACATATTTTGATAATACCGTCCATATCAATAATCATTGTAGAGGAAGAGAAAAAAGAAAGAAAGGGAAAAAAAAGAAAAGAAAAAAAAGGAAAAGGGTTTTACCAACTAAAACATGAAAATTTCTGACTTTCCCTTTAAATTAAAGCTCCTTAAAAACTATTTACATTACAAAAGGGGAAGCGTATTCTTTAACTGAGAGGAGAGGAAATAAAAAGGTAGGTCATAAAAAACCTACGTAAGTTCTGGTCGCCAGGGTCTTATATATATACTAGCCAGTTAGACCAAATCTGACAGAATTTGCCAGTCTGAATTCTTAAGGAATAAATTAGTTTTTCCATAATATAAATTTCATGAACAATGTCATACCAGTCGAACAGTTGAGGGGGCTCAACAGACACTCATTTTTTAGTGATTGCTTCAAGCCTAAACCTTCTGAAAAACGCTGTGTAGCACAGTATGTTTAACTAGTTTTTTGTTTTATAACGGCCATAAATAATATCCATCCATAAACCGCTTATCCTTCTGGGTCGCGGTGGGGTGCCGGAGCCTATCCCAGCTGTCATCGGGCAGAAGGCAGGATACACCCTGGACAGGTCGCCAATCCATCGCAGGGCAGACAAACAGACATATACATCCACACACACACTCACACCTAGGGGCAATTTAGCACGTCCAATCAGCCTGACTGCATGTTTTTGGACTGTGGGAGGAAACCGGAGTACCCGGAGGAAACCCACACAGACACGGGGAGAACATGCAAACTCCACACAGAAACGACCCTGGTCACCCAGCCGGGAATCAAACCCAGGCCATTCTTGCTGTGAGGCGACAGCGCTACCCACTGCGCCACCGTGCCGCCCCGCCATAAATAATATAATTCATTAAATGAAGTGTGCAGTGTCTTATAAATACATTCAGGGCATAAAATATATATCAGTGGGCCATATCAAGCGGAAAGAAATATATTCATCTGAAATATAGTACAGAGAGCCTGATGGATAGCTTTCCAATACCCAGAAAGAACCGTACATTCCCAAAAGACATGGAAATGATTTGCGTTGTCTGAATTACACATTCTTCAGCAGTTGGTTCCTGAACCTGTCCTTTCTGCACAGGTGTAATAAAGAATCAAAGGACATTTTTACAACAAAATACTCTCCAGGCTAAGGAACTTGTTGTTGCCCACTGAAGCTGACGTATTTGTTCCCAATTTTGCTCTGACAGTGATATTTTCCCCTCCTTCTCCCACATTTCTTTAACATAAAATGTATTATCTTTCTCACAAAGAAGGAGTTCTTTACAAATCAGAGAGATAATTTTAGGGCAAGTACCTAATCTAATAGTTGACCAAATAATTTTGAGGAGTCCTGTCTCCACAGCTTGAGGATCTACATATTTAAAAGATTCTTTGAAGTAACATCGCACTTGAAGATCTCTATAAAAATTTTCTGTTCCAGTCCATATTTTTCTTTTAAAGACTGAAATGACTGAAATACTCCTTTATGTAAATAGGTAATGTGTTTTATAAGACTCTTCCCTACCCATACTTTAAAGCCTTTGTCTTCTTTATTAAGGGGAAACTTACTATCATAGGCACACCATTTCAGCAGGGGGTTGCGGGCCCAAGGCACGGTGCGCTCGCTCTATGTGAATGTCCGTGGTGGGCGGTATTTCTAGATTCTCTTTAAGCAGGTTTTCAACAAAAGTGATCATGGAGTCTCCATCCCCCTCAGACCCCCTTCTGGAACCCCATATATCCTCACGTTCTCATGCCTTGAACGACTCTCCTGGTCCATTAGGCTACCTTGAAGCTGTATCTGAAGTTTTAGCATCTCAGCCAGAACCTCTTCCGTGCCTTGTATTCTTTCTTCGTTCTGTACAATTTGCGCTTCAACGTCATCCATCCTCGAGTTAACTTTCGCTGTCTCTCCTTTAATGGCTTCGAGCTGACTCTTACAGTCTTGTCGAAAGTCCTGTATTTCTCTTAGAATCAACTCCAGATTCACTGCTTCTGCTGTTTCCGAGTCAGGTTTTCTGAGTCAGATTCGTCGTTACGTTTGTCTGGTTGTTGGGTCGTTGGGTCGTTATTTTGCCACACCAGTAATTCTGACCACTTCTTGGTAGTAAGTTCGAAGTTCTGTGGCGTTTCTTACACTTTTAGTCGAGAGACTCTTTCTTAGGCTGCCATTAGGCTGGTGACGTAACCGGAACCCCCTAATCTGTGTATATATAATACAGTTTATTGTTGTTTGATTGTCTTTGCCAGGTAACAAACATCTCCAGCCGAAGCTCATCTTTAGCATCCGAAGGTCAGGAGCTGAAGGAGAACAAGGTCAAGTTCATGGCCTCTCAACTACTGGCAAAGTTTGAAGAGAGCACCCCAAGCTGCACTCTGCGTAGGCAGGTAAAGATCCACTAGGCTTACTAGCACTTGTGAAACCTCTGAACCATTGCGCATTTTCAGAATAGCTGTGCTCTTAAGTGATGGTTTCCAGCACTCGTCCTGGAAAATCATTTTGTCTTTGTTATAGCTCAACTGAACTGTGATACCTTACTCCCTTCTCCAGTGACTTATTTCCAGTAATTCTCCTTTTTTCCTGCTGTTCTGTTAACCCTATTGGCTTTCTTTCTCTGAAACTGCTGCTGGCTTAATCATCTCAGTCTGACTCGAATGTTGTGAGGCCTCCAAGGCCTCCATCACTCGATATGACAGAGACTCCACCCTTCAACAAACCCAAGAAGAAAACCCCACCACCACCACTCCCTAAAAAACAGGTATAGCTCCAAAATAGTCAGTGTACATTTCCTCACACATGCACAGAACCTCACACACACTGTAAGTGATGCACTATTTTACTTGATTCAAATGTGTACATCTTTCCACATGAATAGAATTTATTTTCTACAAAATTGCCAAAAGTAAGTAAAATTACCACAGTTTGTTGTTGCAGCATATTTTGTTTACATGTACACATTTGAATCAAACAAATTCAAAGGGCCCTATATTCTATTTTATGTTTTTCAACCCCGAACGTATAACGTGTGTGTTTATGTGCTTAACACAGTCATAATTGATTTTATGTGTTACAGTTTCCAACTTCTCTTTATTACTTGGAAGTAAATAGTTTTTGTGTCTTTAGGACTGAAATATGTGAACAAACCCTGTTCTGACTGGCTGCCCTGTATTGTGCCTCATCTGTGCTGAAACACTCCTTATAGCTTCAATGTGAATGGGCGGGACTAAACTGCTATATGCCGGATAGACGGCTATATGTAAATGTATTGGTTTTTGTAATGTCACAAAACCACTGAATTCAAAACAGTCAGTTGCAGTTTAGTTTGAATACATGTATGGACTAGGGCTGAAATGTTTTGAAACTCTGATACTGTTTGTATACTACGTTGAACTCTTATTTTACAAAAAGTGATGAAAATCTCATGATATGAGCCCTTTAGTGCATTACTTTTTTAAGTGCACATACCTCCCAATGCAGCAGTCACCATGATGCACTGGAATTTCTTGTGAGATGATACAGGAGACTGCAGTGTAAATCACTCAGTTGAGCAGCTCTCAGTCTCACCAGCACTGCTCACATGACATGTGTTTGCAGTTCCAGGCAGCAGCCTGCGTGAGACATGGAGAGGAGTGTCCAGCTGCTCTGCTCACTATGCCCTTCTCCAGTCCTCTGTGTGTTTCCCTGAAGCCCATCCGGCCCAGTCACACCCGGTCACGCACAGAGCCCACTCACACACACACTCAGTCACGCACAGAGCCCACTCACCCACACACACGGTCACACAGAGAGACTTCTAAGGTTCTAGCACCATCACAAAAGCAACTCATTGGTACACGCATGCGGTCACACACACAGCCTCCTTTAGAGAGTCCCGCAGAAGCAGCAGAGGCAAGCCACAGTGCCTCCTGTCACTCTGCCATACTGGCCATGACAGCAATGCTCCAGCGTCTGCAGAAAGTGGAGGAAAAGATCAGCCAGGTGATCACCTCCCCTTTCCTCTCTTTCTCCCCTCCTTTTCCTTCCTCTATCCCTGTGGACTTTCTGTTCAATTCTTTCTCTGTCAGTTCAGTGTTTCCCCTACCTGGATGGGCTGCCCAAAAACCTCAAGCACACACCTACTAATCCGTCTAGTACTGGGCAACATATCGTCTATATTAGTATACCGTTATTGAATGCTGTATGTTGCACACCAGTAAATAACAAATACATAACTGCTATGTATCTGTGTATCATGTATCTGATGAGAATATAGCGTAAGGTTCCATTTGGTATAATTTTTCAGTGGAGAACACAGCATAAGCAAACTATGTTAGTATGTCAGACATTCATTTAGAAAACGTTCATTAACTCTATTAATGTTGTCTGATACCATAATACTGTGATATTTTTGAAAATATAGTGATATTGAATTCAGTCACTAGCACTAATTCTTATCAAAATTCTTTTCATTTTGTTCAGAACATAGAAAGAAACACTGCAACAGCAAAACACATGAAGCACAGTTTTAAGCTTCAAATCTATTATTTGCTGCTTGCTGCAAGCACCTTGGTAGTACAACAGGCCCCACACACATCAAAGGCACCCTCTAATAAACATTTTCTAGGGGAAACACTGCTGCAGATCTCTAACTTTAAAAGTGAAAGTTGAAAAGTCTGAAAGTTTTGGAATTCACGGATAAGGGTTCGGCCATATTCGTTGTACATTCAGTCCTTGTTTTCTTCTTCGTCCCTCCGCTGCTCTGTCTTTCTCCTCCTCCGGCCTGCTGTAGAGGAAAACCCAGACTCAAAACACTAGAGAATTCCATAAAAAGAGCATAAAGGAGAAAGCAGTCCACTTGAGCTCGCTGTTCTCTGGTGACAGCACCTCACTGCCTCAGGTGACTATATAATATTGTTTAGCATGGCCTGTTCACTGAATCACTCTGCATGGTTTGACTTTGAATCACTAAAGCTTTTGTCATGCCTTTGTTTTATTTTACTGGCATTACTGACTGCTTAAGACAACTTCTCAAGTTATTAGTTATGATACTGGATGCCTGTATGGTTTTAACATGACCTACATGCCCAGATGCAGTAAATCTGTCTGTTGTTGTGTTGGACTCTCCACTCCCTTTTTTCCCATCACCTCTCAGGTCATTGTCCATCATTACGTGCACCTACAGCCTTTACAGATACCGTAACACAAACATTAAGTCATTCTTCCTCTTCACCCCTCCTCTCCCTTCGCCCTATTAATAATCTACCTCTGAATATGGGTCATCTAATGACTTGATGTTCACTATTTTTATTAGTCACCTGATTTTAGTGGGCTAACTAAAGAAATGCCCATACATGTCATAGCTTGCCTGCCCATTTTGACAGCATTACGCCTAGTAAAAACACATTAGGCATTAGTTATTTTTAAAAGAAGTCATTAAAGTAACTGTGCTCCGCTTGTTCCATTACGTGGTTTATTGGGCCCAGAGAGAAAAGTCTGGAGAAGTAGGTAAAATTCTCCCAGCAAGCTGGGTGCTGTAAAGACCTCTTGTCCGAACTCTCAGAGGCCCTTTTGGTTGTGGGATGGGTGTTTTTAAGAAAAGAAGTACAGGTTCCACTGCCTCTGCCTCTGCCTTTTTTACATTCTACTGTTTTATTACACAGACCAGGAAAAGCCATCAGTCCAGGTGTGTCCCTAGCTGAATCGGACAAAGGTTCTCAGTGCAGGAATAGGTTGTTATATTCTTACAGCAGTACAGATGCACTTCATTGTGAAGTATGCCATTTATGGATACACCTGTGCATTTGAATTCAAGTAAATAAATGACCTACCTACTATAGTACGCTTTTCCTTATTTGCAAACTACACAACCTTTGTACACCATTCTAACCCTTATAAACAACCCTTATCAGAAACAGCCGTATTGAACAATGTGAAAAAGCCCCAGAGTGAAACTGAGTGACTGACTCAGTGTGTGTTCACTTCAGTGCCTCCTTGATGCTACCATATTTAAAAATATAGAATTATGGCTAGAATTCTAACTTAATATGCATTTAGCACCAGACATACAAGTGGTTTTCTTTGTACAGTATTAAAAAACTATTTGATTCAAATATTACAAAAGTTCTAAAAAGAGAATTTATCACAGATATGAGATCATTTTTACTCCATTTTCACATGATAATAGATAAATTTTTATTTCTTTCCTCGAGATCTCAAGTAATTTATGTCATTACTACAACAAAACATTGTTTTCAGAAGAATAATTGTTTTCATTTTGCAAGGAAACAACACTTTGTTTTCTCAAGATAACAACTTGATTAAGATCTCACAAAAACCAGAATGTTTTCCTGAGATTTATGAGGTCATCATGCTTAAACATGGATGCATGTGTGACGCAACCAGACGAATCAGACGCTTGCGATAAAAATCAAAAGGGGAGGTTTTATTGTCAAGGGCTTAGGCCAAACTCGTGGTCGTAAAACAGGCAGAGGTCAAATCCAAAAAAGTCCAAAGGCAGAAAAGAAACACCATAACAATCAGGCAACCAAATCCAAAGGGGCAGAGACAAGCAGACAAAGTCGAAAAATTTCAGGCAGACAAAACAGTAACAAGAAGGCAATCAGAAGAGCTCAGTAGGTCTCACTAGAAGAAGCATTACCTCGCAAAGTAACTAGTCTAAAAGCCCGGGCTATATACTAAAGCTAACTAGACACATGACAGAAAAGGTGTACAAGATTAGTATTCAGGAGCATGAGAAGAGTCATCGGTCATGTGATCTGCCAGAGGGTTCTGGGAGATGGAGTTCGTGAGCCGGAGGGATGCGTGACAGCATGAGACTGATGTTTTTTTCCTTTTGCTGCAGTGTATGGCCATGAATGTAAATTTCACAGCTTTTCACTCTCAGAACCAACAAACACAAATTTCGTTGTCAGCTCCCTACTGCACCACCAACTCTTCTGACCAATACAACTTCACATTAAACCCTGCTGACCTATAAAAGGACTACTAAAATGGACAGGAACAACCATTGGCTAAATGGCCCATAGAATCACACATTTTCTCCCAATGGAGTGCTGATTCTGTTATGTTTCACCCAGTCAAGTCTATGGGTACAATATGCAGTGTATAAAGTGTGCAGAGGGGCTGTAAAGACGACAGCATCAGCCCTGATGTGATATTATGCTAAAGAGCTGAAAGCAGACTGTACATTTGTGTAACACAGAGCACAGAAATAACTGATATACACAGATTTCTGCTCATTTTAGATTATTGAGATGATCGATACATTTTATCAGTGTTTATTAAAAAACTGCTATCCCTATTTTTGAAGCTAAAAATTTACCCATAAGGAAAATCCTTTATTGCTTTTACAAGATCTTAAAATAGTAATGGCTTTCTTGCGATCTCAAGAAAATAATTCTGTTATCCTGGGAAAATAGCGTTTTTGTCATTGGGAGTAAACAATTATTTTAATGTCATATATTTTACTTGTGCACAACTGAATGAATTTGAAGAAGTGCTGTTTGTACACGTCCAGTGTATGTGCATTAATTTACTTTAGGTCAGAAAAGGAAAAGAATGAATACAGGCATAAAGAAATTATGATATGGCCTAAATATTCCTTATCCTTTTTGACCACCATGAAACCTGTGGTTGTTCTCTTTGTTCTGCTTTGTATGTTCAGTCAGGCAACATTGTTATTCAATTCAGTACGGACACTGTTAATGATAAGCTGACGAACCCCAGAAAGGCCGAGCCTTTATTTTTTCTGTCTGATAGTGAAGCATACCAAGTGATACTGTGTCTTGGACATGGGCTGACATTGCTTATATATTTGTGCTGTTTTGCTTGGTTGCAGGCCTTATTGAAGAACTGAGAGTGGTAGTATTGCAAGCATTGGTGCTTTTTGCCCCATTGATGTTTTCTGACTGTTGGTTTTTGTATATTAATGAAAGGGAAATCAAATACCCCAGTTTTTAAAACCTGTTTTAGCAGTGTCATCCCATTTCTCTGCTTTTAGCTTAACACTAATTTCCTCTTCTGTCTGCGTCTGCCTCTGCACAGACCAGTTCCTCTTCTCATTCCACTTCTACATTATCTTCACCACAAAGCACGGTCACTTCCTCTGCTTCCCCTCCTCTCTCATCCTCACCATCTCTGCTTCTGCATCAGGTAATAGACACATGCTTCCATCCACATCTATTTCAACCACGAACTTTATACTCTTCCCTTATTAATGTGCCTTCCCTTTTATTTCCTGCTGTTCCCTACTGCTTTCTAATCATGCAATGTAAACAAGAGGCCAAAATGTGAAGCTCAACAGCTAGACATGCAGCTCTGTGAAATGGAGTTACAGTCTGTGTATAAACCACATACGGTGAGTGCCCTATCAGAGTTTTGACAAATCTGTTATATACCGGCTTCAGTTGCGTGATTAGTAGGGGTGGAAATCTCTAGGCACCTCACGATTCGATTCGATTACGATTCAGAGGGCTGCGATGCGATTATAAAACAATTATCGATGCATCTCGATGCATCTTTTTTTTCTATATAGCATTTATATTTTCTCACTGTGTGAGCTCAAGTTTCGAGTTCACGTTTCAATTTATTTGTCATTTGCACAACATGTCAGGACATTTATGCATTGAAATGCTTGTGGTGAGGCTCAGCTAATCACTCTACAGAAAGTAAATAAGTAAAAATAAAAATACAAGAAAAACCAACTGAAATATATTAAATATACACAAAATATATGCTGAATATAGAGACAGTATACATTTTAAAGTGACTAAGTGACTCAGTACTTTTAAAGCAAAGTATCTGTAATGATCCATAATGAATTTATTTCCAATATTTATTATTAATAAATCAAATGGAAGTGATGTGGCAAGTGAACTAGAAGGCTCTCATTCAGTGCTCTTGTTTGGAGCACGAGAAGCTGCTTAAAATGCGATAAAATGCGCAGTTATGGTGAAATAAGATCCAGTGGTGATGGATCTCCACGCAGCACATGTTACAGCTATTCTACCCGTTTTCTTAAGTGATTTTATAACTTCGGTTTTGGTCTCGTTGTAGAGACGGAGGGGGCGGGGGTCGCTGTGTCAGTCAAGTATCTTTGAGACGGGACGTGTACAACATAGCGCGAAAGCCCTGTTTCGCAACGACTGAGAACTGCAGGTCACGTAGCAGCGATGCGTTATTCGCATTTATAAGCAGCGCAGTTGGTTTCCTGGTACGTTAAATCTGCAACGAGAGACTGTCAAACACTAAAAAGTGGCGAAGATGAAGTCGCTTCTCTTTTGAATTCTCCCGTTCCACCTTAAATGGTGCTGCATTTACATTCGGCGCCTCAGTCAGAATTTAAGGTGGAACGGGTAAATTCGAACAAGAAGCGACTTCAGCCTCGTAAAACAGTCGAACGTTGAGAGACATTTAACTGATCAACTTCTGAGGAAAGGTTTTCTGGCGGAGATGGGAGGAAAGCGGCTATTAAAGCTTAAAGCAGAGCGGAGTAAATCTGCGTTTTCGTTTATATTGTTTAGTCTATACTAGGACTTCAGCACATACTGACACATACTGGACATTAAATGTTGCGGCTCCCAAGGTGGTTTGAATTTGTTGAAAGGACAAAATGGCTCATATTATCATTTGTGTTGTGACTCCTGACCTAACCTGGCTTTAATGCAGAGGGAGCCAGTCGGATTTCTCGCTCACCCAGTTGTGTTTTTGTTATGTGCCGCCACAGACTGTCCGGACGCTGCACTTCCGCACTTCCAAGTTCCGCCTTTTGCGTTCCGTCAACATTACATTATAAATTAAATATTTAGAAAATCGATTTTTGACATTTGTGAATCGATTCAGAATCGTTCACGTCCGCATCGCGATGCATCTAAGAATCGATTTTTCCCGCACCCCTAGTGATTAGTGTAATAGGAAACGCTGATAATTAATCACTTGAGCACCAAAGGTCCACTTCAGTGCGTACACTTAGGTTCCTCATCCTCATAACTGCCTAACATATTAGTTACAGAATGATATACAGTAGTTAGTACAGTATAGTAAGGTTATTATCTGAATACCAAGCCCATGGTTCAAGGGGTTAACTTAAAGGTTTGGTCTCATCATGTGAAAGCTGTGAACTCAGCATGTAAATTTCTGCTCTTCAGAAAGAAACTGAGAAGAAACAGGTAAAGGTAAAAGAGTTTTAAAGCCATTCAGTAATATACATGGTTACTATCTCAAAGCTTAGAATTCTCTGTTAAAGGCTCCCGAGTGGTGCAACCGTCTAATCGTTGGCCCCTATCATCAGGAGATCGTGGGCTCGATCCCTGGTGATGCTACAGGCATCTGTGGCAGGGAGACCAAGAGAGCACAATTGGCCTCGCTCTCTGGGTGGGTAGGATGGCCCCCCTTCTCCCCCCATCACTCAAACGCGATGCTAGTCAGCACAGCCGTCTGTTAGCTGTCGTTAGCTTGAGGGTTGAATGTAATGGAACAAGGAAACAGCCATGTAAGATTTTGCAAAGACACACTAACACAACAAAAGTCGTTGTGTGATTGTTTTCCAAAGGTCAGAGATCCTTTGTATGTATAATATCCAGTCAAAGTGGACAATAAGTACAAGTTTAGCTATGAGATATTCCTCTTGTGTAAGGGGGAAAGTCAAAGTAAAATAAATAAAGAAAATGAGACTCCTAACGTTTGGTCCTAGACCTGGTAGACCACCGAAACTGTCACCGTCAGATAAAGCTTTTATTGTTGATATAAACAAGAAAATCAAGCTCCAGTCTTGGCTGTGCAAGTGTTTCCATACATCCTTCCACTGTGAGAAGCGAACTTGATGCTATGGGTCTGAAAGTATGTGCAGCTGTCAAGACGCTGTTACTGAGAAAAGACAAAAAAGAAAAGTAGACAAAAAAGAAGAAATTTTTCAGGCCAATGGAATGACCACCCCAAAGTCCAGACCTCTGCATTACTGAATGTGTTTGGGGTTACTTGGATTGTAAGAAACAGGAAATGCAATCAACTCCTAAGACTGAACTTTGGAAAAATATCTTTGCAGATTAATTTAAAAAAACTGAAAGTAAGTCTGCTTACTTTCAAGGATACAATAAATACTGAAAATAAATTTTATTTAATTTGTGGAGGCTGCTTTGTAATTTTCAGTTAAATATATATTTTTCTGCTTTTTGTGATTCTGAAAAATAAAAAAACTTGTACTGATTGGAAATTTTAGACATGAAGCATGGCCTCTGACCTTTGCTCACTACTGTGTGTGTACAGAAACAAGAATGAGATCACAACTCAAACAGGTGATTTGGGTGGAAGCAGGAGAGTTCAGAAGACAGCTCCCAGAAAAGACCAAAATGTTCCAGAAAGAATCAGGATGGAAAGTTCCAGACAGAGGCAGAAATGTCCACCCAGGGCCAGGGATGAACTGGTTATATATCTGACTGACAGCAATAAATTAAAAGATTAAAAGAATTAGAAGAAAAGATAACTTAGATCTACCCAGGTCGTTAAAGTACGGTTCGTTAACAAGAGGCGTACATTTGGAATTCATCTCTCTGATTTGACATGATGTCTGACTCCTTCCTCTTCTCTATTCAATCTCATGTCTGTACATCTCCTGCACACAGACCGATCCCTCTGCTCCAAACTTCACCCTTCATTCCAACTCTAAATTAACCTCACCACACCCTCTCCCACCATGCACTTCTTCTACTTTCCCTTCATCTCATCGCTCATCCTCATCCTCTCTGCTGGTGCAGCAGGTAAAGTCCACACGCATCCATGCGTCTGCAGTAGTGTTCCTAAATGTGTTGAATAGATTTTAATATGTGATGAAAAAAACACTATAGTCAAATATATAGTGAGAATAATTGATTACCTGTCATTGGTTTCAGAATGGCAGAGACATAGGGCACTGTTTTTCTCTTCAAAAAGAAAGTAAGATGCCAAAGGGGTACAAAATCATGACGTTCCCCAACAAGCTATTCCGTAAGGTATTCAAACCTTCTATTATAATCATGCTTGATCAGTATCAGTAACTTGCTGCCAAACTTAACAATGTCTCACAGTCTACTTCACAAGTAAGAAAAGTTTATATAGTGTGGTAGAAAACTATGAAATGTAGGGTAATTTCAGCTTGTTTCCTGGTTAAATTTATATAATACATGCATTATTATGTCTAATGTTCCCTAATCTGGGCGGGTAATATACAACTATGAATTCAATCTTATCTTTTATTTCTGACGAGGAACTGCCACCCTATAATTACCTACTTAATCTGATCTGTAAAGTCTACCTAATATTGTTATACGAGCCACAGTACTGACAAGCCTGTAATTTGTCTGGTGTTGTCAAAGAATGCTCACAGGTCAGAGGCATAAGCTGGTCATTAATCTCCTCGTTTGACCTGTTTGTCTAAGGCCTAAAAGAGGATTCTTCTGTAAACTGTGTGTGCTCACTGCCGTCTGTCCTGATCTCTCTGTCTCCACTGCTTTGGACAGACTTATCATTCTGCCGTACGCCCCCTCATTCCAGCACTATCTTAAGCCCACCATACTTACTCCCAGAATGCCCTAGTAGTCCGTCTCCTAACCCTTCTCTCCCCTCCTCACCCCCTCTGCCGATCCAGCAGATTCCAAGCCACTGATTATATCTTAACTCATCATCTTTTTCAGTGTGTGCAAGGTTGAATAATGAATAATTATTAATTAAAAATTACTAGTTAGAAAGTTAGGTAACACTTTACTGTACGGAGGTGTCCGTAAGGCTATATGACACCAACTTAAGCCTTTCATGACATAGGCCTATATAAACATTTAGAAACACTGATTCCACTTGTTTTTTATAGGCTGATTTTTGTCTCACATACACTGTATATCGCTGTTGTCAGAAGAAAACCTCGTATCTCCAAAATTGTAACTTTACAGGAGAAGGAAAAAACATGCTTTTAATGTAAGTCAATGGAACCAGACTTTTTTCCAGTTATTTAGGTTGTTTCTTTTGGTCCATTCTTCATGAAATTCACACACAATGTAAAGGGTAACAGGTATTTTCAAATTATGTCAAAAACTGAAAAACATCAAACATGAAGATACGAGGTTTTCTTTCGACAACAGCGATATATTTCTCTGACATTAAGCTGCAAAGTCAGTTGTTATAACTTGCTATTTTATTCAAACCAAAAATGTCACTAACCTCGACAAAAGCAGCCTTTATTATAAATGACGCTCCTAAGACTAAACCTTTGTAGTAATGTTTATGTAGTTTTAAGGCAGTTGTCAGTTGTGCTTCAGTAGGTGTCATGTACTGTTATGAGCACTGCCCCACAGTAAAGTGTTATCAAAGGTTATTGGTTAAAGTGATAGTTTGGATATTTTTCTACTAAATGGCTGAAATACAATTAATGAGAATATTTAAACAGCGACATTAACCCTTAGTAGCCAGGTTTCCATCCAGCTATTGAATTTAATTCAAGTGAATAACCCAAATGTCACCAAAATCTGCTTCATACAAGAGAATAAAACTTCGTCTCATTCATTAAAACACGTCTGAGAAGCATGGAATGAGTCTACAGAGAAGTCTTGCTGCTTTGTTTAATTTTATGGCTATATTTTACATAATAAGAGTCCTATTCAGAGCTCACTGGCTAAGGTAGTGGCTCAGGAAAAGTCTATTAATGGGTGCGATGTTATCTTTGTTTACTGTCTAATGTAACTGTTATTTTTTTGTCTTTGGTATGATAAAGGTATGTTTTAATTGAATTAGTCAGCTAGTGCCTGCTGCTTTCTGTTGGCTAAAAACTACTGTTTTCTTGCTTTGCCAGCATTTTATTTCATTCAGCAAACACAAATCTAGTATCTTTTCACTTTCTGACTCTCTGATGCCCTTTTGCCCGTTTCTGTCCTTTTAACTTAAACAAGACTCGTACATCTCAGCAGCCTGAGGTTCAGCTTTGTGAAAACGAGATGCAGAAAGACTCAGTGAATGGGTCGAATGTGGTGAGTGTCCCATAAGTGAAGTGCAGCTATATTTGGCCGCATAATTACAGTGTGAAACTATGTTAACTATTATTTGTTCATGACAGAGTGAATGTGCATTCACTCCTTTAACACATGATGTAACCGTACTGACGTCAGCTGCTTTTGGAAGTCACATTATTATTACATGCAAGCTAAGTTCAGCTGTGATTTTAGGAGGGGAAATTGTTTACACATTGAATGGCCTTTTAATTTGTGGTTTCAGTTAAGTAGTAGCAGCAGCACATCCATTTTTAACCATCAAAGGGACATGGAATTGCCTCAGTCGGGTGGAGATAGAAACATAAAGACCTCCAAGAAGGTATCCTAATCCTGTTTAGCAGTTTGCCGTATGAGCTTTATGCGTGATCTGCTGCTGTGTGAAACTGAGATCTTACCTCTAGTCAAATGCTGCACGATATGTGGATCCTTAATTATTATTGTGACTTTGGGCTTAGCAACACTGACAGATGAGACCATAACCATCGCTGAATGTTTTACTGTGTGTTGTGTGCATCCTGACCAATCGTAGATGTTCTTTGGGTGTTCGGTGGAATCAAGACATTCACATCATTCAGTAAACATAAAGACGTAGTCAAAAATAAGACCAGTATAATTACATCATATCAGGCATTCAGTAATGTGTTTTCAGTATATTGGAAGGCATCTTATATGTCAGTATGCTGCAATGTAACACATTGTGTAGCCTGAATTACTGCCTTACGTATCCTATTAAACCAGGAGTGCCCAAACTTTTTGTCTTGAGGCAAAAGTGGAACATTTGTGGTGAGCTGAGGGCCAGAAAGACAAAACAGTGTTCAAATAAAAAAGATATGCAGGTTTCAAATAGTACATTACATTGTATTTTTTTATAAAATACTTTAAAAACACAATTTAAAAGTAAAGCAAGAACCATAGAATAAGAGGTATATGTTTGTTCTCTCATTGGGAGAGGAAGTGGGGTTAGGGTAACTTTTTATTGGACCAAATCAAACATCTATATGGGCCAACTGTGACCCTTGGGCCATACTTGCTATACAGCCCTGCTATACAAGCCTCATTGCTCAAATCCAGTCTCTTGGACACAACGGTTCACACTCGTTTAGGTAAGTGATTCAGATGTGTCATTAATGTGAACAAACCAGCGTCCTGAAATGACCCGCATGAGCACATCCTACTCAGTGACGTTACGTGAATGAATCACGTGCATTATCAGCACAAACTAATGAGCAGAACGAGCTTCGCTGAGAAGATAATTAACTCTGATCAGCTCTCAGCTTCGTTATTAGAGCAAGACGAAGGAGAAAAAGGTGAGATGAGCTGCTTTTCCACCGTTTACAGGCTTTAACTTCTGTTCGGCGCTGTTGCCATGGTAACGCTGAATGATGGCGCACGCGCAGTGGAAAAAAGAGCACATGAATTCCGATCTGAGCGTCACATTAAGGTCGCATGGCCACAAATCTGATACGTATCCGATCTAGGACCACATATGAAAGTGGCTCAGGTTGGATTTGAAAAGATCAGATTTGCGTGTCCACACAGCCCTGAAAACATCAGATCTGAGTCACATAGGGGCAAAGAATCGGATTTGTGCCACTTCAGCCTGGTAATGTGAACGTAGCCTACATGTTATGTGACAGTTAAGCTCCATTTAGGAACAGTTTATCTGTGTAAGCTTTTAAATCTTTTTTGTTTTTTAATAACAAACCTATAACATTCCACTGTTTTTCCCAATATCGTTCAGCCCTGGTGGCTTCTTACAGACACTTACAGACACTTCCTTCTGTACTAAACAATGCGCAAACCCAAAACAGAGGAAGACCACCCAACAGAGCTGTATCTAAAACCTTTATCTTTGCCTTCATATGCTAAGCTGAAGCTGCTTCCTCTCCTAATCTGTTTATCTGTAATCTGCTCTGAACAGACTTACCCTACTGCTGCAAACCCTTCTCATTCCAGCTCAGCATTACCCCTACCATACCCTCCCCCAGAATGCATTGCTGCTTACACATCTTCATTTCCATCCAGGTATTAAACTCACCCCCACCTTCACTGTGTCCTCTGTGTGTGTTTTTTGTGTCTACAGTGACATTCAAATTAGGTGGCTTTCATCGACCATTTATATTTCATATCTCCTTGCTTGTAGTTGTGTTTCTAGCAAACCCCAGCATTTAGGGACGCGGCTTTCTAAAACAGAAACCCAAGGAGAAACACAGAATAACTCACATGTGAGTTTTCTTTGAATAGATCTTGGCCAAAATAACTGCTAAACTTGGATCGTGGAATTTCAGTATGATAGAGTTTGTTTTCTTGCCAATGGATAAAGAAAAAATATAAATTCAATACATTAGTAGATTAAAGACTCATCTTAATCTATGTTAAATGCTTGGGTAGGACAACACTGAAACATGTCATTTATACTTTCAGCATAGCAGCAGCAGCACTACTTATTTCTCTCTAAGAAAACAAACGGAAGTCTCTCCGTCAAAGGAAGACTCACACAGTTCCAAGCAGGTATCTGAAGATGCCTGTTGAAACATACACGATTACTCTGAATTCCAAGAGCATGTTAGTCACTGACGCATTTGCCTGTGCTATGTGCTTGTTTTGGAGGTGCTGGCATGCTCCCGTATTTCTGAGATGACTCTTGGTGGGCTGGTCCCAGCAGTTCTCTCTTGAGGGACGGGCCGTTCTGCCTTTGTGGCAAATTCGTAATCTAACAAAGCAAGAGGAGCCCACAGTAGGCGCTGAAACACTCCGCCGTCTCCACTGACCGCGCCGAGCATGCATTCCTCACGGTCCTCCCCTCCCCTGCCAGATGTCTGACCCGAACCACTTTTCCCTTTGCTAACGGAACCCGTTTCAGTTTTCAGCCTGCTGTGAGCTTCGCCTGCCGTACAAAATGATCATTGCATAACTGTCCCTCAATAAGGAAAACAGTCCAGTCTGCTATAAAATACCACAAGAATTCTGAGCAACACTGTTGTTTTTATAACTTGAAAAACATGCAGCCTGCCTTTTCAAATCCGTATCAGATAAGGTTCATTCAAACTACTGCATGGTGAAAAGACGGAACAAGTGAGGTATCATGTCTGATGAGGCATCTTATCTGGCTCCGTCCTGTCTTTTTTACACATTCTCCTCCAGTTTCTCATGCTCTCATAAATCTCTCTACTCCTCTCCTCCCACTCTGCCTTTTCTCCTCCTGCCTTTTCCTTGGTGCTGTGGGCCTGATAGCGCACTGTGGGGAAGGTGTCTCTGGTCGTAGGAGCGCGGGCTGAGACACTGCTCACCCTCTATGAGAACGATCACAGGCCAAAATCCGCCTGCTCAGGCTCGCCGGTAAGCCGCAACGTGCAGACCTGGGCTCCTCTCGGCTTGGTTGTTGGCTTGTATTAAAGGGTCAACATCATGGAAAATGGAATTGAATTAAAGAATTTGATGTTACATGTAAACAATGCAAAGTTATTTACTCCCAAAATTATTCACTCCCAAGTACGTACAGTTTGTATGTGGAAACTAAGATGCTTAAGCAGCCTATTCTAAATTCATTTTAAAATATATGTTAAATATGTTTTAGTAACTCTGCATCTGCAAACATGCAAAACATGCATTTCCTTTTTTTATTTAATTTTTGAATTTATTTTCAAAACGAAGGTAGAAAGAACCTGCTTCCAGAAGTAAGGTTGCATGAGATTGTAAGAGATTCTGGCTTCTGGAATTAAGTATGAAAATGGTTCAGTATTACATTTTTTAGATTTTTGTGATCTGCCAGTAAGTAGCCTCTATGAGTCATGATGGAAATTTCACTTCATCTTAGCTTATTATTTAAACATATGTGAGCATTTAATTTCATCTTTTTTAAAGGAAATCCGCTGGCACAAAATCTTTTGAACCTTATTTGTTCCACAGCAGCCCACAGTATGGCCATCGTTCCAAAACTGCTCAAATACTTCTGTACATTCCCACCCTGCTGTCTGATTCTTATGATTCTGACTGGTGTTTTCACTCTGCTTCTCAGGCTTCCTTGCGGAGGGATTTCCCCCAGAGCTTGGGTGATGTGTGTCATGCATGTAAGAAGCGTGTGTACATGGCGGAGCGTCTGAGAGCTGAGGGGCTCTTCTTCCATAGTGAGTGTTTCCGCTGTGACACCTGTAGCGCTCCCCTAAGCCAGGGTGGACACGCTTTCGACTCGGAGCAGGGTATGTTTACTCGTCAACTTTTGATCACATTAGTGTTTGCTGAAGTTTAGTGCTTCTATTTTGTATTTTGATGCCTTTAATACCAGAAACAAACCAATGAAGAAGGTTAGCGCACTTGTAAAGATGGACAGTAAGGCACAATACTTGAAGACAGTTTCACGATATGCTTCAGGATTTTTTGTTTTTCTCAGGTTTGTGAACAAGTTGGAACAGATAGAATGCAGTAGCCAAAGAGCAGCGCTGTGATAGGGCCCAGTGAACCTAAGCCCACACACTTTTATTACTGATGCACCAAAAATGACTGCTAGGATTTATGTTCAATATTTAAATCTTAAATACAGTTTCACAGCAAAAGTTTGGAAGTGAAAACAGGTTGACATGTCCTCTACAGAAAACTCACTTGTGAACATTTTAATGCACAATTACTGTTCATTTACTGAATTTAACAAAACTCATTTATCTCATCATTCTTATATGGAAGTTATGAGGTTTTTTGGTACTGCGTTAGCAGTGACTGTCAATATTTTGGAGATAAATGTGGCGAGGACCATTATTTAAGGATTTGGAAGCGTATGAAGGCTTGTTTTAAGCATGAAAGTAGCTGAGCACACCATTGCTTTAGATAAATACATTAATTAATATAGCATAAATGCCAGAAATCACCAGCATATTGAAGTTATGTTGGAAGGAGAAGGAGGTACGACTTTAGTAAAGATTTTGGGTTTGTAGTCTTCATTCAATTTTGTATTTTATATGACATGAAGCGTATTGAGACATAGTTTGTGACGCAGTCATGATAAAGTATTGTCATATTGCCACCTCCTACTGTTTTGTGTGCACTGATGTGTGACTGTTTTTGCTGTCACAGGGAAGCTGTACTGCAAACTCCATTTCTCTCAGCGTAAATTCGTGAAGTGCGGTGGAATATTTGATACACATATGGTAAGCATTCACCATATCGGTCACTCTGCGCTCAGTTCATGTGTGCTTTTCATTAAAGGAAAAAATAATAGTCTGACAGTGTCTTTATTACTTTTCCCCCTCTTCAGCCACCCAAAGGCGCCGTCCACCCCAGCACTAGGCCCAGTCCTGCTGGTGTAGAGACTTCTCTGAGGCAGTCTCCAGGTACCCTGACCTCTGTGTTGAAGAGAAGTCTGCACTGGTCTCTGCACGTGAGCCGGACTGTGTGTGCCATGCCTCGTCGTGTGGCTAACTGGCTGGGTGGGAAAGTGCGGGACGGGGGCCGACACCTCAGGGACAATGCAGAGGACTATGCCTTCCTGTACGAGCTGCTGAGCGTGGGCCTGCCCCTGCTGGTGGCCATGCATGAGCTCCTGCTGCAGCTGCAGGCCGAGGCCACCCTCTAAACCTGCAGACCCTGCAGGAGTGGCTGGAGCAGCACGTGGCCCTCTTGCTGTTAATGTAGGCCCTCAGAGAAGCCCTTCTGGCATTCTCTAGGTTCTGCCCATACTTTGGCTTCGAGTCGTGAAATATAATGACTTTTCAAAATTCACAGATTTGATGTATTTGATAACTGACAAAGGTCAGCTGAGAACAGCTGGCCTCTTGAACAGAATAAGAACTTTTTTTCACAGTGAAAAGTGATCGCATGATGTACTGCATGTACTTGAGGTGACTCCAAATTGTCACTTGTTTTCATTGCCCTGGAGTTTGGACAAGTTGAACAACTGGTCTTGGAACCATTCCAGCTATTTTTCATTGCTTCTCTCCAGTTAAAGCAGATTTAGTTTCTCAAAATGTTAAAAATGAAGAGGGCAAGAAAGGAAAAAAATTAGAAAACCAAACTATAAGCACTTTAAAAAGTGAGCTGTCTGAACATATGCCAATACGGGAGGGGGGTGGGGTTGTTTTTTTGCATGTTTTGTAAGGTAATTATTAATATTTTTTTTTGTGTGGACACTGCAAGTTTACTAAACTAGACTGAGTTAGCCACAAACAGCAATCTGCTGTGCCTGTGGTCACGTGCAATGAAACTGCCAAACCAAACAGGGTGCTGTCACGTAAGCCTATCTCACAATCCCGCACACTGATATCAAAAGTTTACACCTTCTATTAGAATCAAATGTTCGGTAGAAGTGGTTTTACATGCCTGACATTAAATTGAACCTATTTATAACAATAGATATTAACTTTTTCTATGAGTTTGGTGTTTGTTTAAGAAATGGTTCGGCGAAAAAAAACTTAATTTTAAATTTCACTTATGTCGGACGTAGTCAATCAGCCAAGACACATTTGGCGTTTAATTTTGGCTTTTTTAGTTTAGCACTGGAGCCATTATGCCGATTTCTGCCTCCTCTTTGCACCTGCACATCACACAGGCATATCGCTGTTGTTGGAAGAAAACCTTGTATCTCCAAAATGGTAACTTTACAGGAGAAGGAAAAAACCTACTTTACTTTTAATGTAAGTCAATGGAACCAGACTTTTTTCCAAGTAATTTTCCAGGTATTTTCAAATTATCGCAAGAACTGAAAAACACCAAAAATGGACATACGAGGTTTTCTTCCGACAGCAGCGATATGGACACTATATATTACATTTGGGATTTAAATAAGCATTAATCTTGAATTTTTGAGCTGAAGATGATGCGTGTATGTGAAGGGGAATTCTGCGGCAGAGTTTGACTTCGGCACAACGTCTGTTCTCTGAAGTGGCTGCCTACTGCATTCAGCTACATGGTGAAGTATTAGTTAATATGGTGTCCTGAAACACATTGCCAAGCCTATGCGACTTCAGTGAAGATCTGGATGCAGTTTGAGCGAAGTTGTGTTATTCTTTATTGATCCTTTGTAAGTCATATGCTCAGTCTGGGAGCAGCACGTTGTTGCCAGCAGATAAACATGCCTGGTACAACAGTTAATTAATTATTTAGTCAATCCAACCGTCAACCTTCAGGTTTCAGCCTTCAAGTTATTAATGGAAATGATGAGATGAGCAAAGTTAGTCTCTCCGGCACTAAACAAAAGAAGCTAAATTTGGACATACATGTCTTGGCTGATCAACCACATCTGGGCTAAGTAGAAAATTGCATAAATTTGATTTTTGCCGAGCTATTCCTTTAGGAAGTACAGAATATATACATATATGCTCACATATGTGCCATTCGTTATCAATAGCGTTTACAGATTGAAGCAGGTTTAGAGACGTGGCACACAGCTGGTAATTTGATTCAATTTCTCAAAACCAGATTTGTGCAATGAAATGGCCATAACTACAAAGCACGTCACAGATATCATGATAAACACTCTTGTACTATTAGTACGAAGAGTATAATGAATGCAATAAACGCAGTGCAAAGTGGAGTGCGTACCTTTAAGTCACTGGATCTTCATCTTTGCCTGATTAAGCAAAAGACTTTAGAAACAAATGTTTTTTTACCTATATTAAAACACAGTGGTATAGATCTGCTTTAAAGTGCACCGACAATGTACGTCTACATGCACTGAACATTTTTAAAGTGAAACTCCTCAAGGAGATCAGTAAGGCAGTGGCATGGTTGGTTTTATAAGGAGAAAATGTATTTCTTTACACTGGAAGGTTTATTTTGTGATGTTCTCTTCCTCACAGATGTTCAGTTGTGTGCCTTTGTGTGATTTGATCTGATTGTAGCGCGAGTGTTTTTAACACAAATATACTATTGCGCAAAATCAGAGACCACCCTTATTTTACGTAAATTCCAGTCAAAACCAGAAGCCATTGAGTGTAAGGTTTTCAGTGTCAGAAAAAATACATAAAAGCTTCAAGAACTAAATATGATAAAATTATCACCAGTTGGTGTGTCCACTCATTGCCTTTATTACAGCTTCCATTCTCTTTAGAAGACTTGCTTTTAGTTTCTCAAAGAAATCTACAGGGATATTTTTCCACACCTCCAGAGTTCAGTCTTAGGAGTTGGTTACATTTTTTCTACTTTGTGCAGGTTATCCAGAGTAGAGCTGGATTTTCTCCTCTCTCTCAAAGATAAAAGGATTTAGTACTGTTCATCTGATGGTGACAGTGTTGGTGGTCCACCCACCAGATCTCACATGGTTGTTAGGAGTCCCATTTTATCTACAGTATTTAATCATTTCTGAACTCCACTTTTTTGGAAACTCCTGTTTTTCCACTGATTTTCCTTTGACTTTCCCCTTATTTATGCAAGTGAATCATGTCTGATCATCTCAGAAATATCTTTTGATGAACAACTTTACTTATTGACTGTTTTGACTGGAAATTAAATAAATAAAGGATGGATTCTGACTTTTGTACAGTACCGTTAATAGCAAAAAAACGATGCCATAGAATGACATGAAATGCTCAAAATGCATGTATTTTTCCTACATAGTTGGAAGCTTCTGTTGCAGAACTGTTTGCTGCACTGTGGTTTATGCCTTAACTCTATAGCCAGTTCACATACATATGCTTGCATTCATTTCCCTTCTCTTTCCTGTCCTTCACTTGTAGTCTTTCTTGACTCGTCTACTGTGTCCACTCCTGATATGCTCTGAGTCATGACAGAATTGAGGTGATCACCTGCACGGTCACATGATGCTTTGCTCAGCACGACAGCACGAGCAGTTTTCTGTACACATTTACTGCATTGCACTGCCGAGAGGGTAGTGGCGTTCGTCTGCATGGCAAAGTGACCTGAACTACATTATATGTCTAAACATTTGTAGACATCTGCTCATCCATTGTTTCTCCTGAAATCATTGATATTAATATGGCATTTACTTAGCTTCTGCTCTCCTGTGAAGGCCTTACAATAGCTATTGGAACATCGGCGTGAGGATTTGATTGCATTCAGTACAAGAACTTTAGTGAGGTCAGCTACTGATGTTGGATGATTAGTTCTGGGTTGTCACTCCACCTCAACCCAGTGATATTGGCTGGAGCTCCATGACTCTGGGGGGCCCCTCAGTGTTATAGCCCGTTAGCCAATGCTTACCTGAATGGTGACCTTAGGCTCCAGTGTGTCTCATTTTATAGTAAATGCTTTTCAGTGAGGATTATACCAGCTTCATGAATGCCAACCCCAACTTTGAGAACCCCTAAACTTTTACCCTCACCCATTCCAAGGCTTGTCGTTGTGCTTCACCTTTGCTTTTTGTTGAAAAGTGAATGTACGCCACCTTTGTGCTAACATAACATTGCACATCCCATAGAAAAGCTGGTATAATTTAGCGTGCGTCTCTGGGCTTATAGTTTCATTTTCGTCCTGTTAGAAAACATTGAAATCTACTCTTCCATCACCACCTGTGAATGTGGCTTATCTGGTGGTGAAACTTCTGATAAGATTGTATGAATGTTCTACAGTCCTGATTCTCCTTGATTGGGTATAGTTCTGCTTGAGTGACGTAGTAGGCTGCAAGGTTGTGGACAGAGGGATTTCAATCAAGCGTGCTTGTTAGAATATTAGGCCATGCTCGGACAGTTCTCAGACAGGTCTGATCAGTGAACTTAGCTTGCTTTTCAGCAGGCCCGCATCATATTTCTGTCTTGTTCTTTTTAATTCATGCTTGCTTAGTATCGTACAGACATTCTTCATATTTTACACTACATTTCCTCGGACTTACTGCTCTTTCACTATGTGTCACTGTTTGTACAGCAGCATACAGGAATGTGTGAAGCTGCATTTGATGTGTCACAGTGCAGGGGGAAAGGAATGCTTGTAAGACACTCCCTCCCCGCTTTTGGTTCTCGCACATGCATGGCTGTGGATGTCATGACTAACAGGAATGTTCCTGCGAAATGTCTTGTTTTTCCTGCGTGAGACGATCTTCTCTATACCTTTTTATTTATTCTTCTCTGTTTCAGAGGCTGCTTACATTACCGAAACCCACCAAGAGCTCTCTTTTGTCTCTTTGAAAGTGAGGTTCAGTGTTACCTAAGAAGACTTTTGATTAGAATAGCACCTTTTCCCAGACATGTTGTAAAACTGTATGAAAAAACTATGAACTGTATTTTCCTTACCTAAAGTTGTTTCACTTTATGTAAAGCCATATCCATTTAATAAATGATGGAATTTGAAATGCTTGGGCATTCTTCATTCATAGAAATTTATCTCATCCATGTAAAATTCATATTTTACATGGATGAGATAAATAACATGCTTATTATGTTTTAGTAGTTGATAATTAACTGGTTGCTTTTTTTAGTACATTATTAAACAGTAACTGGGTGAAATAAGCATGTTACAGAGCACATGATGTTAATGCTCTGATTTAGCCTTATCAAGCCAGTAGTTGGTAATTAGCCATCATTTGCATCCAAAGTCAAAATGCACAGTTTGACTAAGAACTAAGTTGATAGGGCAGTATTATTTATTAAGGTATTGTTATGATATCTGCCTTGCGATGGACTGGCGACCTGTCCAGGGTGTAGCCTGCTTTCCGCCCGATGACCGATGGGATAGGCTCCAGCACTCCCCGCAACCCAGGAGGATTAGCAGCTTAGAAAATGTGTGTGTGTGTGTTATGATATCTATCATGTAAAATGCATATCTCTGCTGTCACAAAAAAACCTCGTATCTCCAAAATAATAACTTTACAGGAGAAGAAAAAAACATACTTTATTTTTAATGTAAGTCAATGGAACCAGACTTTTTCCGAAGTCATTTTGGGCCGTTTCTTATAGTCCGATCAACATAAAATATACGCACAATTCAAAGGACAACAGGCGTTTTCAATTTATGCCAAAAACTGAAAAAAGAAAAAAGTGGAGATACAATGTTTTGTTTGTGTAAGCAATTTCAAATCTGCTTTGCCTTGGTCTTGACTCGGCCTCATCCAATCCTGGTCTCTGTCTTGACTCAGTCTCAATAAGACTTAATAAGAACATTACAAGTGCTCTAAAATGCTTAATTTAACCCTGGTGGCTGCTTCAGAATGTAGTAATGGGCAGCCAGTTTATTAGCATTATTGGCTGGATAAGATAGTTACCAGCTAATGGCTTGATAAGGGTGAAAGCTGCACTATGTAAGCTGCACTATAAGACTCCACCTCTCTGGTTGAAATGTGTAATTGCATGTAACGTGTGAAAGAACATTTCATAACATTGGTTGTGCTTTGGACCGCTTCCCTAAGCGGATGAATCTGCTTTTTGCAAGCGCTTTGAAGAGTATTCAAAGAGAACTTGGTGAAGTCAAAACTTCAGAGTCAAAACTTGGTGAAAACGTGTCTTCTGAGGATGTATGTGAATTATCTATTGTCATCATATCTTCATCAGGATAATGTTGATTTTGCATTTGAGACCTACACATAAAGCTGGACCTTCTTTTGGATCCTTTGCGCCATACATGAAGACCTATGACATGCCTTTGCAGAGTGACTCACATCAGCGCAGGCACACTGCATTTTAGCATCCTCTGGAAAAATTAACCCTAATTACTGCTCAATAAGGTAGTAATAAGAAGCCAGTTAAACACTGTTGGCTTAATGAGGTTTAATAAGCTAATTAGAAGGGTATTTTATTATTATGTTCCCCTATAATGAAGTGTCACCAAGTTAACACTTATGTAGTCCCCATTTTTACCATATTATTGTGTGACCATTTAGAAATGAAGGGCTGACAGTGGTATCAAACTAAGAGTCTGTACACAGAGTCTGGCATGAGAGGGTGCCACAGATTTGGAGTGACTGCACGTCCCCCCAGAACTGATAAGGCCTAGGGACCAGAGTGTCCATGGATGAGGCCCTTCCTGGAGCTGGGCAGCTGTTGTGCTGTGGTAACAGCGTACGTGCTGAAACATGCAGGCCTTTCCCCCTACAGTTCCTCATTGTGTCCTCACTAGATAAGGTCTTTAAAGGGCCCATATCACAGAAAACTGTATTTTCCTCTCTTTTCTGAACTACACTTAAATTTGTACAAAGGTATTATTCACTGACCAACTCAAACGGCTCACATGTGAAAGCTGAGCAAAAACAGCCGATTTCAGTGTTCAGTATTTTTCCAATACCACAAAATCCATTTGTCTATATTCACCTATTTAGCTTACAGCAGGTGAGCCCCAGACATTTGTGTTCAAATTAAGGCTTTTATACATCAAGTACAATTTATTCAGACAGCAATAAATTAATTAGCGCATATGCACCCCAAATGCGTTTTTTCGGAATATGCAGTGAAATTACAAAAATCACATTACGTCAAAAAAACGTGTCCAAATATTTCACATTTTCACATCATTTATTTGCTGTGTGTTTGGTGTGTAAGGGCCTTAGAAGTGTTTCATCCTGGGCTGCTTTTTGATTGAGGCGCAATGCAGAGCAGACAATCAGAGCAGAGGTTATTTACAACTCCCTGTTTCATACAGACCATAAAAGGCAAGTGGAAATCCATCGATAACGTTTTTTCAGAACGAGTACGTTTTTCAGTACTTCTTCAGTACATACTGAGTAACCTACTTTGAATTAAGCAGTTGATAGTGTAAATAAGTGCAATGTGCCTAAACAGTTAAATCATTAAAATCTAGCTGATCATAACCCTTGTGTGGTGTTCAGGTCTGTGGGACCCATTTTCAGTGTTTACCAAAAGAAGGAATTTTGCGATTTATTATTATTTCAACCCCAGGTTCCGTGTCCTTTGCTCATTTTCTGTGAAGAACATATAAAATAACACATATTCAGTGTCTTCACTCTGTTCACCCCCCACACATTTATATTACACGTGGTGTTGGGTCAAACTGCGGGGAGTAAAAGTGTGGAGGTGCTGTGTCCTTCACTCTGTTCTCCTCGTACATGGCCTGCTGTTACTGTGTGTGTGTGTCTGTGTGTATGTGTGTGTCTGTGTGTGTGTGTGTGTGTGTGTGAGGGTGGACAACATGGACAGGCTGCTGACTGGCTACAGCTGCTAAAGGAGAACCCTACGCTGGACACTTGTGATATTTTAAACATCTGGTGTTTTTACATAAATTGTTGTGGCTGTATTGATTTAAAACAATAATGCGGTGGGTCTACCAGACCACTGAGTAACAAACACATCAACACCACACAAGGGTTAAAAACAGGATAAAATCACATTGTGTATGCCTAGCAAGAATCTGCCTATGCGGAATGTTTAAAGTGACCAACAACAGCTCTGTGTGAGCAGACCCTCGTCCACTGCCAGCTTGAGTCATTTGTTCTTTAGCACGGCAGTGTACACTGGATTTACGTCGCATAGTAGCGGGTGGTATCAGATGTTGGTATGCATTTTTAAAAGTACGAGTATGAGCAAATATCAATATCAATGAATCTCTAATGAAAAGTAAAACAGCCCATTTTGAATCCATTATTTTTGAATTTGATGTCACAAAAGGCAATGTATTTACATGTACCTGCCTATAACTTCAGTTTGAACAGCAGTGTAGCTCCACCCATTCAAACTGAAGTTATAAGGAGTGTTTCAGCCCGGACTGCTTTCTGAGCTGGGCACAATACAGTCAGCCAGTTAAAACAGAGCTCATTTAAATATGTCAGTCTTAAAGGCGCAGTAACAAAAACTGTGGGTTTCATTCTAAGGGATAAAGAGAGGTTGGAAAATGGTCATATATCAATGAATTATGACTGCTTTTGGTGCATAAACCCACACAGATGTCATAACATTGCCTTTAAGGGAAAAAAAAAACTAAGAAATATAAGGAAAATGTTGGATGCGGGACCCTATAACGTTCAGCCAGTTACGTGTTCACGCTGAAAAAAGTAATTACATAATTTTCACATCAATAAAATATATTACATCAGCACAGTGTTGTTTTTCAATTGACTTACTTTTGGCAATAACTGTTGCCACATGTGGAACAAAACTTCAAAACCCTTGAATCAAGAAAACTCCACACATGACTTTTTTTCAGTGAACATGTAGCCTTTATTGGTCCTCATTTACAGCTCCACATCTATCATTACTCAGTGCCTTGTCAGTATCACTCTACTGAGCCTACACAAAAGCAAATTTCCTCTAACTCGGGGTCCTTGGAGGGGAAAATTCTTTTGTTATGAAGTGCTCAAGTGAATAGTGGGAGGCCAGGGGTCAACCTGTGGTCCGGTGGTAGAGGTTTCTTACTCATTCTGCACTCATAAATGGGTTCTTGAGAGGATTGTAGAGGTCCGGACACGACTGTTTAAATAAGAAAAACCTTTGGACCTCCTGAATGATGTCTCAGGGTTCTTTTTAATATGAATAACCATGAAAACACGGCACTAATGAAGACCTCTGGAAGCTGTTAAAAGCATTGGCGGTGGTGTGGTGGGAACATCCCTGGGCATTTTTTATTTACACCTCTAAATATAGCAACTTTTTGGTTTCGAAAGCAATTTAGAGCTGCTTTTCAGTCTCAGTGCTTGAGGACTGCAGAAAAATGGCTTAGTGATTTCCCTGCATTCTCTGCATCCCACACCTGATTCAACATGTCAGCTAATTACCCGGCTCTTTATATTGGAATGCCGATAATGAAATCCGCTGAGCTGTGTTGTGCTTTGGCTTTCTCGTGCAAGGCCAGGCCTTCAGGGTTTCTTTTCAGGGCCTGTGCCCAGTGTCGGTTAACTGGGTTGCCACAGTAACAGCCACCAGTAATGGTAAAATGGTAAAAAACACTCAGTTACTACCAGTTTAACCCCAACCTTATTTAAATCCTAGCCTTATTACATAGTAAGGCTTATTAACCAGTAACTACAGAAACTTCAATGCAAACTGATTGAGCTGTTCTTAGGTTATAGAAGTGTGCAATAAAACTGGCCATGTAAGGGGTTAAAAAGGCATTAATTTATTGATTAATATCATGTAAACCATAGCAAAAGACCCGCAGGTGAACATAACTGAACTTTTGAAAATGTTGGGTGATGTGATGTCCTACATAATGATGATGACAATCTATTTCAACACAGTGTTGACAGGCTGGTAGATGGATGCAACCAAAATGCTCCTTTTATCATTACAAAGAAGACAGAGGAGATGATTTTTGGTCTCTATAAAGAGTTCATAATCATGAAAATAAGCAGGTTATGTGCTGTAAATATTTTGGTGTACATATAGATGCAACACGGTCAGGTT